TGTTGTTGATGATGTTGATTGATTGAGTGTGTGAATGATGGTCCGCTCCAACATTATCATGTGGATGTCATGGACTTGATTGAATAACAGTTTGGAGATATAACAATTCTTGATCAATCGTCTGAACAATACATCAATATCTTGTTCCATCTTTGATTGATCTAAAATGATAATGATGTTTGGGTTGATGAGAATCAATCTTGGGAGATTTAGAGCTCTCGCTCATCAGACTTTTATCAACTTWWTYCACCCCCCCCCCCCCCCACTCATCACACCCCAGACACATGTTGATTGAAAGTTACTTTTGAAATACGGTCTTGAACTTGAATGTAAGTTTGAGATTCAAGGTCGTATTCAAGGTGTCAAAAGTGATTCAAGACATTTTGGGTAAGTTCTAGAGGTCCAAAAGTAAGGTTGATAAAGTCAAGTACCGTACTTTAGTTACTTAAATAAATAATATTAAGTCAGCATAAAGGATAAGAAAAGGTTAGTTAGGACAAGATTATTAGAGCTCAACCTCTCTTTGGTACAACTTAAAGAAAATCAGATAAAGCAACATTTAAAGCCCATTAAGTTTTTTTTGGGGGTTTTTTCTTTATTTTGTGTACAATCTGGGTGTGGTAACGTTATTGTTCTTTGATTTGAACAACACACTTTTTGTTTGTGTACTACTTGAATGACAGGAGAACATTCTTTCATTTGTTTTTTTTACCTCTCTTTGCCAACATATTTGTTGAAGAGTCATTCACTTTAAAGTTTTAATTTGCCAGTATTCACTGCGATGGTGTACACATGAAGCGAAAGACGTACATGAATGGTCAAGACGACCATCAGTCGTCGATCTTGGACTTTGACGAGTTCAAATGGGTTCAAAATACCTTCAATTGGTAAGCAATTGGATCAATTCTAGCCATAAAACACTATCAAATCACTAACTGAATTCAACTTGTACCTTACCTAACTTATATAGTTTAAGCAGAATGGACATGCAGGCAACATTCGACAAAACATTGAACAAAACAACATACAAATCAGTTATTCTCAACGGAGAGACTGAATCGATAACAACAACAACAACCACAACCCAAACAACTACAACAACTTCACTACTCTCTCCTATCAAACCAAAGCCAGCCCAAATGGCCAAGAAGCCACATCCACTCCAGAAAGAACCGAACGGTTCTGTCCTACCTGCCAAAGAACAACTGATCCTCAAGGTTAACAACAGACCTATCCAATCGGCACCAGCTTTAGTGCCTACTTCCTCTACTTCCTCCTCCTCATCCTCTGATGGTATGGCTATAGACAAGCCAGCAAGCTTTGCAGAGCCTCCAATTGCCCTTACTTTCTCAGGACATGCCCGTCCTGCTTCTCCTCAGGTTTTACCCTCTCCTGATATTGTTGTTGATGTTGATGATCAACCATCGGCACTGTCTTTAAGGGGATGGGCAAAGGTCGGTAGAAAGGCAAATCGGATTGCCAATCGTTCAAACATGAACTCTCTTGATGGAACTCCTTTTAGGAATCCTCTTAGGGAGACCTATACAAGCCCAACGTTCCTGGGGCACGAAAAGGTATTAATTGGTTGGCTAGAAGAAATGTTTTGTTTCTTTTCATTGAAAACTGACTTTTACACATCACATCCATTCCTAGGAACGATATGTATATGAACTAGAGTACGCTGAGGATACTCTGACCGAACTGAAACGGATACTCAATATTCCCACCAACCAATCATCCATTTATTGCCCATCATTGACTGTAAGTTTTAAGTGTGACAAAAAATGTCTGTTTTTGTTTTGCAACTAACCCCCATTTTAAGGCCCAAGCCGAACAAGGTGCAGCCATACCCCCATCAACTTTTCTAGAAAGCCTCCAATAGTAAGTTAGGCAAAAGTCCACTTTGTTTGTCTTGTGCCAATGACTTCACAAAACACACCTTTATGTCTAACACACATTCCTATATTTAGTTCTATCACCTACCACCAACAACATACGTCTGATAATGCTTGCCGTATCAAGCCTTACTTGTTGTCCTCTGTAAGGGCAGCAATCAACAAGAACTCGATACAGAACTACGTCAACGGCTCGTTGTTTCCTCAACCCAATGGACCATCTTCATTTCCCATTCACAGAGCAGGAAGTGAAAATTCTCCTGGAAAGGATTGGATCCGATCCACGAGACATATCCTCTGCTAATTTGGCTAGAATATGCGAGTAAGTACAAGAATGGTTGGAGGTTTGATTGAAATTGACGATTTGAAAGTTACTAAACACTTAAAAACGTATTTTTAATGAAATAGACTACTTCCAGGTCGTGCTGCAATTGATTGCATACGATTTTTGGATGACTATGACAAAGGCTTGCAAGAAAGCGATCCCATTACATACGAAAGCTCGAGACGAAAGAAGAATGGTAAGTTCCAAACAGCCAGATGAGCAAAGTATCATTCTCTAACTGTTTATACTCAGTAGGAGCGTCACCTCATCTGCTTTTTGACCGTGAGCTGGGGAGAATTACTCCATCTACCACATACAAGCTCACCAAGAACCAATTTCAAATGTTTGGTCTGCATAGCCGCGTCAAACCGTCCTTTGGCGGTAAGATCTTGGATGTAAAGTTTGATCCAACTGGAAATACGTATGTAGTCCTTATCAAACTTGATGTGATTCAGTTTCTTACTCACACAACTTTCACCAAAACACATAGGGACAATGTTCTAATTGCGTCTTACAAGTCCAGATATCCTGTTGTACTCTATGATTCAAAGAAACACACAAAGAAACACTTGATGGTCAGCGATCACAAGGAGACATGCAACGAACTCCACTTCACCTACGACGGAAGGCATATGGTATCAGGTTTGGCAAACGGATCTGTCAATGTCTGGTCTACACACAGCGCAAAAAAAGTGTTTGGGTACCACAAGGAAAAAGATACCGTTAGTCGTGTATGTGTCCATCCTGCCCAACCATTCTTCGCTACAGCCTACAAGGGAAAGTAAGTAGACTCCTGGAATCAGCCAAAAACCACTAGTCACTCACCCTTTTGTAAACAAGGTCCATTGTAATAGGAAACTATTCAGCAGCGGATGGCTCCAATGGCTCAGGCACCAAGGACCTATATAACGAACTTCAAGCAAATGAGTGGCCAGCGTAAGTACAAACATGTCAACTCATAATCATTCATAACCCCATTCTAATGTAAAATAGACCTGTCAACGAGCTCACATTTGGACATGGATGGTATGGCAATTATTTGTTGGCGAGCCTTGGAAACGATGATCCAGATGACATGGGCAACAGAGTCGATACTTATGTAGGTCCCAATGAAAGAATCTTGGAATCTCCTCAGCATCACATCAGCACACCAAATCTAACAAATGTCCTCTTTTTTTTCATTTAGGGTTTATTGTTTGATATCAATTGTCCAGAATATACTAGGAAGCTCAATAATCAACAAGGAATGACATTCTCTGTGGCCTGGAACCCAAGGCAGACCGCTTACTTTGCTGTTGGCTCTGGTGACCACAACAACAATGTGTGCATTTACAACATGACCGACAATATCATTGTTGGAAATCTTGTCACTGGACACGACGATATCAACCAAATGTCATGGAGGTAAGATTGAAAACAATTAGGCAAATATTTAAAATTATTTTTCTTACTAATAACCAATGGTCCTTCAAATAGTCCCGATGGAGTAGAACTGGTGGTAGCTGGCAACAACAATTCTGCCCATGTTTTTGACATGCGATTCACCACAGCACCCCTTCATGTGCTCAAGCACAATGCCAAGAACAAGAGCAGACTGGTCACTGGAGCGTCATGGTCCAGAGACGGCCCTTTTTTGGTCACATGTGGAGAGGACTGCCACGTGAACATTTGGGACACCAGTTGTGGTGATCCACTGATACAGAGGCTAGGAGAGCACAAACACACTACAAACTTTGTCGATGTGTCTGCGCGTTCCGACATGGTTGTCAGTGGAAGTGATGATGGGTTTATTGCAATTTATGCAGCAGAGAAGGGTGTCTACCTTGAGGATGAACAACACCAATAGTACCCCATGTACCCTTTTTATTATATTTAAATACATAGATCACAAGGTGGAACCAACGATGGTACACCCAAATAACACTTAGGAGATGAAGTTCACTTTTTCAGATTGTGTGAGGGTATGTCTGTGAGGGCATGTTCCCTTTGCCTCATGAAAAACACTAAGTCTTGTGTGAAAGAACACCCCTCACACTCTCACTCAAAATTAAATTAAAACAAAAAAGATGAAAAACGAACGAAAGCCCATTCGATTGATTCTCCTCTTTTTATAATACAATCGTACTAGTAATAATAATATAGTGATAATATAAACAATGACAAAACCATTCATTGATAGAAAGAATAAACAGGTCTTTACACTCTATAAATCAACATCTAGAGATAGGCATGGCAAAGAACACACTCAATATGATCTCGTTGAGAAGAAAAAGGTATTGATCGTTCACTCAATCAATCAAACAATGGTATCTCTGCTGACACATCACTCACATACAATCACATACAACAGGACGGTGCACCAGTAACAGAGGAGTACACCAACGATGATGAGTATGATGATGGAGAATACTATGAAGATGAAGAATATGATGAGGAGTATGATGATGAATATGATGAGGACTACGACGATGACGAGAACCACCAGGACGGCGAGCAACCACAAAAGAAGCCAGAGGATGATGATCTCTACCTGCTGGGATTCAAGAAAGACGGATATGACTACAGCAAGCATCTGAGACCCATTGGTGGTGGCATGTTCATCCCAGCTGTATACGATATGAACGAACTAAAGAAACATAAGGGTGGCATATTAGAGCTCGTCAAGAAGAGTGAGCCAGCACCATTCATGTATGGTCTGGAAGAGATTGCCAAGGACTATGTAAAGAATGGTAAGTGTTGTGTTGGAAACGCGAAATGTCAACGACGACAGTGATAAATACTAATCAAACACAACAATGTAATACAGAGAAGGAGATGTTAGGACAGGTTGACGATGATGTGATTGAGGCCCTTGGACAAGAGGGAGAGTTTGAGGAACTGGACGACGATTTCATTCTCCAAGCAAATGGAGGAACACTTGACGGCTTGGAAAAGGAGGTTTTGGAGACACGCAAGCGACTCAAGGCATTGGATATGCTCGATGATGACGATGACTATGAATACGACTACAATGATCAAGACCCCAGTGTACAAAGAGCCGATGGAAGAAGGAACAGATTGGTGGACGAGGCACTCGAGTGTCAGTTGGACGTCGCCCTGGCAGAGTTTGACGATGATGACGTTGGCGAGTTGGACAAGGAGCGCGCCAAAGGACAGTACTCGACAGAGGCCTACAAGGAGGTGTTTGACGAATTCATTGAGAACTACGAGGCAGATCACCGTCCATTGCACGAGCAGCTGGAGATTCTGAAGCGTGAGGACCCCAACGTCCCGCTGACTGCCGAGGAGAAGAGGATCATCATTGCAAGAAACTGGGAGGAGGATGATGAGGAAGAGGTCGAAGTGGAAGAGGACGAGGACGAGAAGTGGGACTGCGAGACCATCTTGACGACCTACTCCAACATCTACAATCATCCACAATTGATCAAGGAGGTCAAGCCAATCAAACTGTCCAGGAAGACTGGTATGCCCGTCGGTGTGCTCAATCAACAAGTACCTGCTGACGATGATGAGGATGAGGAGGAACGTATCAACCTTGGTCAATCTAGAAAGTATGAAACAAAGGAGGACAAGAAGCTGCGAAAGAAAGCACTGAAAGTGGATAAGAAGGTGTCAAGAGAGCAAAAGAAGGATCTAAAGAAGGCGTTCAAGTCTGAGGAGATCAAGCAGCTCAATGTTATGAAGGCGCAGAGACTAAACAAGCTTGTGTCCATTCAGTATTAATAAATATCAATATCAGTTCACATAAGGATAGATATATATTTATTGTTGATTGCTTAGAAGAACAAGTCATTGAGGTTATTGTTGTTGTTGTTGTTGTTGACAGGACTGGCTACGTTGTTGTTTGGAGCAAATGGCTTGGCGGCCGAAGCAGCTGGCTTGACTGGGTTGGAGAACATCTTGGAGTCCAATGAAGCAAACTGACTGTTTTGCTTTGGTGCGTTGGCGTTGGCGTTGGTATTGGCGTTCATACCAGAGAATGAACTGTTGCCATAGGCACCTCCACCCATGACGTTGCTGCCTCCGGCTGGAGGAAGGAATGCGTTGAAGGTGTTGTTCATCGGCATGCCACCGTTCATTGGCATCATTCCTCCGTTCATTGGCATCATGCCACCTTGCATGGGCATCATTCCACCTTGCATTGGCATCATTCCATTGTTCATAGGCATCATTCCGTTGTTCATTGGCATCATACCGTTGTTCATCATGCCTCCATTGTTCATTGGCATCATGCCATTGTTCATTGGCATCATACCGTTGTTCATCATACCGCCGTTGTTCATTGGCATCATACCACCACCGTTGTTCATCATGCCTCCATTGTTCATCATGCCACCATTGTTCATCATTCCACCACCGTTGTTCATCATGCCTCCATTGTTCATCATTCCTCCGTTATTCATTCCTGGGTTGTTCATCATTCCACCACCGTTGTTCATCATGCCACCGCCGTTGTTCATGCCACCAGTGCGTGGTGCATTGGTGTCTCCAAAGTTTGACGAAAACTCAGCCAAAGGATCAAAGTTGATTGCTGGCTTTGCTTGCACTGGTGATGGATTAAAGTCTGAGGATAGTTTAGTAAGCAGTTTCCAAGACCAGACTTGTGATTGTTGACAGAAGATATCTGAGGCACATACCATCATCGATCAACGACTTCTTGCCAGATTGTGGAGCAGAGTGCCACTCGAATTGGTCGTCCATCAGAGAGGCGGTGGGCTTTGGTACAGAAGGCACACTGGTGTTGTTTCTGTTGTTGTTGGTGTTGGTGTTTTGGTGATGGCTTGGGCTGTTGTTGGTATTGTTATTATAGTTGTTGCCCCTTTGGTTTGAGCTGTTGTTGTTTGAGCCACCTCTGTTGTTGTTGTTGCTGTTGTAGTTGTTGTTGCTTCTTGATGGTGGTGCAGAGTATCCCTCATCATCGAAATCGTTGTTATAGTTTTGGTTGCTGTGAGTGTTGCTCCTGTTGTTGCTGCTGCCACCATTGTAGTTGTTGTTGCCACCCCTGCTGCTACCACCATTGGAGTAATTGTTGTCATAGGATGAACTATGATTGTTGTTGCTGTTGCTGTAGGTACCTCGACTCTCATGGTAGATGAAGTCATTGTCGGTTTCATTATGGTTGCTGTGGCTGCTGTGGCTGCTGTGGCTGCTGTGGCTGCTGTTTGAGCGCTGTGGGTTGTTCCTGTTGTACTGCTCATTGTAGTTCCTGGTGGTAGTCTCACTGAAGCCACCACCTCCACCCCTTCTTGTGATTGGACGTGAAGTGGATGCACCATCCTGTCTGGTGAACTCCTTCCTCTCATACTTTGCTCTGATATAATGCTCAAGTGCACTAATAATAAATAAAGTTGTGTTTGAATGTCAGTACAACAACTTCATCTCCAACAACATCTGAAGAAGTGAACAACATAATACTTACTGAGAGTCAGAGCCAGAATCTGGCTTCCTGATTCCAGGTGGCAAGTACTCCTCGTATATTTGGTTTGACTTCTTGTTGCCCATGTTCTTCATGTTCTCAAGTAGTTCAGGTGTCCACTTGTCCAATGAAACTGATCTGACCTTTGAGATGTGAACGCCAAGCGATCTGTGAATACCCGAACATCTCATACAAATGAAGATGCCAAGGTTGGTGGATGCCCATCGTGGAGCTGTTCAACAACATTCATCAAATATATATGTTAGATTGAAGAACGATCATCATCTATATATCAAATCTAACAAAGCATACCCTTAGTGTTACAATCAGCACATTGCTTGTTCTCCTCGCTTTTTAGCAAGTCCTCCAAGCTGGCGATACATGCTTGACTGATCTTCTCGTCTTTGAGTGATGATGCCATTGTAATGTGTATAGATATAGAGATATAAGTTTGTAATAATATATATGAAAACGAATGAAAGATGAATGATTAGTAATGTTATTGTCCAGTTAGTTCAAGTCGTTGGGTAATTCAATTCATTTCGATTATTTGGAATTTTTCATAATTAATTTGGAAGTTCACTGCAAAACACAGCATCATGCAGTCAGTCAGGTAGCTTGTACAGATAATAGTAATTGGCAAATACACTTGCTCATTGTTTATTCGTCCGATTTGGATGTATCACTGGAGTCTTTCCTGATGTAGGGAGCAAGCTCTTGTCTCTGGAGCATCTGGAGGTACGTGTCAAGCCGTGTCAGTCCGATGCGATGCTCCTCGATGTGGAAGCGCATTATTTGCGCGATGTGCTCATAATACTCCACAACCTCCTGGAGTTTGTGGAAACTCAGCTCCTCAGTGGTGTAGTCTGACTGATTGAGATCGAGGGGCCCTTCTTTTCTGGCCCTCTTGACAGGACGAGCGGGCTCCTCATCGAGTCTGATTGGTGCTTTTCGAGTGTCGAGAACAATCATCTGTGATCTGTGACCACCATGTCAGTTAAAGTGTCAAAGTCCAAGGTCAATCATACATACTTACTTGTCATTTAAGACCGTCTTGGCCATCTGGAAGTGGCTGTGATTGACAATGGTGCTTGCCTTGAGCTGCCCAAGATCGCCTACATCCGCTCTTATCTTGTCCAATTCGGGTCGGAGTGCCTTTAACAAATCGGCCTTGTATTTGGTCAAGAACATTCTAAGAATCGGGCCATGTGACTTGTGCAAGCAGCAAAACCAATCTACACAAGTGTTGGTACAATTGCGGCATCTGCCTGGTTGATGGCATACACCTCAAGAGTATATTCCTACCGCCTCGTCAATTTTCCTAATGGCCTCGTTTATATACTCTACACTGCCTTTTTCGTCATTGGGAAAGAGCCCATCGAGCTTAGTTCTATAGTCCTTGTAGAGATCATGGTTGTACTTTGGTGCGTATTCTTTATTTGACATCGTTGTCTATCTGTATATTGTTTATATGTATACTGTGTAAATGTCAGGTGATCACAATGAAGAGAATGTTTTGTGATGAGGACGTGTCTGAACTGCTCGTAGGATATTTTAAATTTTGGCGCCGAAATTTGATCTTTGGTTGCACTGTTGATGTGCCAGTTGAGAATCATTTGATTCACAACAACATTTACTAACACACACAAGACATGGATAGACAAAGAATAGAGAGGACTAGAATGAGAAAGCAGTTCAAAGGCTCTCGAAGTGGACACCATCATTATCTTCAGAGACTACGATCAAAGTTGCTTACAGCACTTTACTCAAACACACATGGAGTTGCCGCAGCATTCACTATTCAGAATAATATTATACAAGTCAACCCATCACTCACTCGCCAGTCAAAGTCGTCGATCTACTATCACCGCAAGAAATTGAGTGCTCAAGGAACGTATCATCCTCTTCTTCATGGTGGAAAACGATACTCTCTGCTTGATGATGTCAGGTTTGAGCAGCTGAAGGATTTCCTCCATAGATACATACTCGAGGCGCAACCAGAGAGTCTCAAAGAGATAGTTGACCATGTCAACACTCAGGTCGAGGACATCCAGTTCAGCAGATCATACATACGAAACGTCATCTCAGAACACCTGATGTTCTCGTGGAAGGTGCCAATCACAGTCCAGCATCAGAAGTTCACCTTGGAGAACCTAGAGAGATATGTCTACTTCTGTCATTGGATCAGCCAAGTCGATCTTGATTCTGTTTACTGGCTTGATGAATCTACCTTTGAGTCCAAGAGTAAGTCTTACAACTCAAACAAACACTGCACTATTATGCTGTCGCTAATATGTTTGTTCAATGTCGAATAATAGAGTGTTGGAAGAGAAAGTTGTTGGCCCCTAGAGGCAGAGTGCAACCCATTCGCGTCAACAGAGAGTCCTTCAGGGAGTCCTTCTCGTTGATGGCCATGATCTCGATCAACCACGGATCCTACGCGAGGATGAAGGACCATACTGAGGGTGACACCAACAACAGCATCACCTTCTGCTCATTCATCATCAATGCCATGGAGGCTGACTACATCCGACCCAATACCTACATCGTGCTCGACAATGCCAGTATCCACACACAGAGGGACCGCCTCCCTCTCATCCAGGAGATGCTTGATTTGATCAATGTCAAGTTGGTGTTCTTGCCAACCTATAGCCCTGAGCTCAACATCATCGAACTGTTGTTCGCGATGATGAAGAGAGAGTGCCGAGATAAGAACAGAACTGCATCCTTCCTCGACACAATCAAAAACGCGTTCAACAAGTATTCTAGCGATCCTACTACAATACTCAACTGGTGTCACAAGTGCTACAATAGATAATAAACAGTGCCCGTAAAGCAAAGCTATTTCAATCAATATCTATTATCCATTACCTCACTTGAAACATCCAATATCATTGAATGAATGAATGAATGAATGAATGAACGAATGAATGAAAGCATCGATCACCCTACCATATGAGTGAACTTCCAAATTAATTTGAAAAATTCCAAATAATCGAAATGAAATTGAATACACAACGACTTGAACTAACTGGACAATAATAGTGTATGATAGAAGTGGTGATATGATGAAAGTTGGTCGTCAGTTGGTCCTACCACCACCACATGTGCAAAGTGTTCGGATTGTGATAGTACCTACCTGGGTGGGTGGAACATGGGAGAGAGTTATTGTCAAAAAACAATAAAATTAATTAAATATCCAACAAGTTAAAGTTGAAGACAATGTTCAAATGATTCAAGATAACCATGTTGTCTTATGATTGTAATAATAACAAAAAAAGAATGTTACAAATACCAACTTTTAGCTCTTAGTGATAATAATGCGACGACAATTGATAACAAGATGTCCTTGTGTGGTGATCTGTTACTAGATATGAGTGGACTTCTTGGTTGAAGCCCCTTTAAACGTGAATGAAGGCAGTTAACAAATACAAGGGAAGAGCTTCAAATAACTAACTACTAATGTCAATCAACTCTCTCTTATTTGTCGACATAAGATATTACGTGATGAGTAGGTATTTCGACTTACAAAACTGTTTCAAATCACAGTTTTGGTGATAATCCCACGAAAGGCTGAATCCAGTAAAAGAGAGGTCTACACCTCATTTGAGTTGTTGTTGTTGTACTTGTATTATTAGATTCAAATAACAAATATATATTATAGAATGGTATGATGTTTGTTGAGTTACTTTACAGTACTTACATACTTACACACAAACAATTGTATTATAGTCACTTCTTAGATTGAATGTGTGCGATAGTCTTACAGGTATTTGCTTCTACGAGAAGATATGGAAGTGGAGTGGAACATCTGTGGCAGAGGGCATCTGTAAATTAGTTCTTACATTTCACAAGCTATCAAATGAGATTGGCGATACAGGAGGTATGTTCAATCGATGAGGTGTTGAAGAGGTGTAGACAAGTAATCATCCACTCACTCACACATTCTATACAACAATCATTATAGAGGTTAAAGGAGTATTGTTTGAACAACCAATCGTACCGTCGAATCCTCTGAGTACCTCCAATTCAAATATACCAACTCCAACATCAACACAGTCTGGTAGTGGCAGCTCCACCAATGTCAGACATTCACTGCATCATAGAACACCATCCACCACTGGCTCATCATCCACTGCTAAACGAGTATGTGGTCCAACCAATCTTGGAACTCAACCATCATCATCATCGTTCATCATCAATATGACTAACATATCACAAACACCTACAGGTCAAGGTTGTAAACTTACCACCACCAATCAGATTGTCCTGTGAGAAAGAGGACACAATCACTGTATCAGTATTCTATGAACAACAGGGCTTTGAAGACGAGATACGAAAGTTTATATTGAATGTCTTGCAAGAGTTTAACAACAAGTATGGTTCACAATTGCCATCACTAAGACCAATACTTCACGAGATGAGCGAGTTCCCAGAGAAGTGCAAGGTATGTTATAAAGTTGTAGACGTGGTAGTAGATGTCAATCGATCAAACAATCTAGAACCATCTAACTTAATCAAAAAACAGACCAAACCAGAAGAGATAATGCAACGTTTTAAGGATTTCGAGAAGATTGCTGACGAAGTCAGGATACAATCAAAGTTAATATAATAATAATAATAAGTAATGCATATATATCTAGATACTGTACCAACAATATAAATAAGAGGGACATTGATCCAACAACTTAACGAAACCCGGATCTTCCCTCGTGAAGGGACCTTCCCCCTTTTACCACATTGACACTAGTGTTGATGTGTTGGCACCAATCAAACAAACAATCAATCAATCAACCATTGAACACTACCACAGCCACATTGACATTCACACACACTACCCCCAAAAAGAGAACAACACATAACTATTGACAATGTGAATAGTTCAACTCTACCACCTTCTACCAAACATGCTCCTCCTCTTTCTTTGGGATGAGGAAGGAATGTAGGATGGAAGTGGTAATGTGAGTGTGTTCGTGTAATTTGGTGGTGGTCTGCTTATTCCCAATGATTGATGGATGAATGAATGAATGGATTGATAGATGATGTTGATGCTCTAGCAACGTAGACAACCCTGTTCTTCACAACTCAACTTCATAACTATTATAATTATTATTATTTGTATTCCTTTCAGTAGTTTTGTTTATTAACTATTATTAATTAATTGACAGTAACACAAGACATGAAGGAATTATATCTATCTAAATATTACACATTGTTGTTTATTGTTCTACTGTCATCATTGTTGTATAGTAGTAGTGTGTCCTCTACTCCTTTGGATTCACCATCCGTAACCACTGTAAGTACCCTAACGATCAATCGTTTTTGGCTATAACTAACTTGTATTCTCTACCTAGTTTGCAATCGATTGGAATGAGACATTTGGTGTCCAGTACCTCAACAAAGATGTAAGATAGTTAGAAAGATTGTTGTGATGATTGAAGAGGATCTGACGATAATTTTTCATTTAGGTTGCATTGATATTGGATAACAATGGAGTAGTTTGGCGATCTGAGGATGGAGGTATCCTCTGGGATAAGGTTAAGGACATTGGTGTGGTTCGCCAAGACCTTATTGTTGATCAAACAAACAAGTCAAATGTAAAGTGTTGATCAATCATAGAGGATTATGATCGTCATCAAAATAGTCTAACATCAATCAATCTATCAATCAATCAATAATAATTAGATAATGTTCCGTGGCTCAGATAACTCTGGAGACACATCACTCTTTATTTCAAACGACTATGGACTGTCATTCAAAAATGTGACAGTTCCATCAAAGGTGTTCTCCTACATTGTTCCAAACATGTGGAAGTCAAAGTACCTGTTGGGCCAGGCTGGACACTCTGCATACCTGTCCAAAGACTTTGGTGAGACATGGTCATTGGTATTCAACAACCAATTGGTCCGATCAATTATGTGGGATCCATTGCAGAATGCTCAGGGCTCATCTCAGACAGCTATATTTGCCATCCTTCAGAAGGAGAAGATGCAATTTGTCTACTCGGAGGACTTTGGTAAAACATTCAACATGTTGGTTAATGGTGCTCAGGACATGACCTTCACCGATAGCTTCATCTATGTTGGTGCCTATGATCAGGCACTAGGTGGTTCCAACCTCTTTGTCCGAAACAACATCCAACCTGCCAACACCAAGTTACAAGGATTTGTAATGTGTGACTTCCCATTTGGAGATGACATTCAACCAAATGTAAGTTGATTACAAGTGACGACATTTAAGATCTAGTCCACAACACTAACATATATATTTCTACTATAGGAGTACAAGATCATTGATGATAGCTCTGGCGCTATATGGCTTGGAATTCAAATGAAGAGAGCCGATAGGTTTGGAAGCGTCTATGTGTCTGACTCGAGTGGAGGAAAGTTCACTTTGTCAAAGGAGCGCATATCTCTTATGTCAGAGTACGACTTCGCACCATTCTATGGCCTCAAGGGGGCATACGTAGCCAACCAAGTGACCACCGGTACCAACATTCAGACAATTGTCACTTATGACAATGGTGGCAAATGGTCCAACTTTGATCCACCCACAGACTCTCGTCCACAAAAGGGCAGTTCATTGAACTTCTACGGCATTTCCACGTACCTTGATGTCAAGAAGCAATACGGTCCATTCTATTCCACCGAGAATGCAATTGGTATCTCCATCGCAACTGGAACAGTTGGAAAGTCACTATCATTTGACACACCGGCAGCAAAGATCAAGACCTTTATCTCTAGGGATGGTGGAAAGAACTGGGTGTCAGTCTATGATGGACCAACTATCTATGAGATTGGCAACCGTGGTACCATTATCCTCTTGGCCAACTGCTCTGATGAGACCAATCAATTATCGTATTCCTTGCATCAAGGTAGGAAGGACTCATTCATGGATCTCAAGCTCTCCGAGACATCGTACGACATCAAGAACATCATGACCGATCCAGATTCAGCATCGACCAAGTTTGTTGTCATGGCCTATGACAATGATGCCAACCAAGGTTTGATCTTTGGTGTTGACTTTACCTCTTTGAGACTACCAGAGTGCAGTGATGATGACCATGAGAACTTCACTACTCCATCGATTCTTGGACACACGACGACCTTCACCAGAGTTAAGCAAGATTCAGAGTGTTTCCAAACGAAGGAGTTACCAGGTCAGAGCACTCAAATGTTGAACTGCACCACTGACGACTATGAATGCGATATTGGATATGTCCAAGCATCACCAGACGGAGCTGACAAACTTGTTTGTGCACTACAGAAGGACTTCACTCAACCATCATATCCACCAGAGTGGTGTCCACCAGGTTCTCAATATTATATCACCAAAGGGTATGTCATCAAATCAATCATTGATTGTTATATATTAATCTAACATAATCATCATTTCCGTTATATAGATATAGAAAGATTGCTTCTGATCTTTGTATCGAGGGTGTTTCCTCGCAGTACGAACCTACTTGGGTAAATTGTGGAGGCTCACCTTCCTCGGGCTCAAGCTCACATGGATGGGTCGCTGCACTGGTCATCCTGTTGGCACTTGCGATTGGAATTGTTGGAGGAGCATTCTATCTACACAGGAACCCCGATGTCAAGTTGAATTTCTATCGCAAGGTTGGAATCATCAAGGAGTTCAAGTACAGCACATTGGGTATCAGACCAAACTCATTGGCTGATGACGAGTTTGGTATTGAAGATGACGATGCTCATATCATCAACGATGACGGTATGTTGTTGAATATTCAATCAATTTAGTACTTTGCTGACCATCATAAAATCATTTCTAGACCTTCGATTAGATGATGAGTTCTAAATGAACATAATCCAAGTAAGAACCATTCAGCTCCAGTGTACATCCAAACAAATAATAACATTCAAACTTAATATATTATATCGACATTAATATTTTTATTTATTATTTATTATATATTTAATTTAATTCTATTTAACTTGATTGACAATGTAGTCTACTTGAAGTGAAATGACCTTTATCATTGATGCATGAGCTATTTAGATCAAACTGTTGTAGTTCACCATTTCCAGAGCATGCGACTCGGTCGTCAAACACAGTCTGTGAGATGGTAGTGGAGTTGCACGTCAATTGTGAGCCACCAAAGCATATGGCCGATGGTTGGACGTAGAGATTGGCAGGATCACCCTCACAGTTGGTATTGTAATAGATTGCCTTTACAATTGAACCACTTGGTAATACAAGTGTACTCATACAGCTTAGTTTCTCGTTGATGTCGTCCAGACATTGACCAGTGGGCACAGAGTATTTATCCACTAGATCTCCAGTGCAGTTGGCTGTTGTATAAAGGTTATAATATACTTTGGAGTGAGTTGGATCACATGTCATACTGACACCATTCTTGCAGGCACCATTGACTATATAGTTCAGAGGTGATACGGTGTGAGATAGATCGCATGGTTCACTAAATATATATGATGTTGAGTTGACCGATGATAACTGTATCAACATTAACATAATGACACTTAAAACTATTACTGCTATAGTAGACATATTATTTGTTTGTTCTTTCTTTGTTGTTGTTGGTATGATTGATTGATTGTTGATCAATTGGAAATGTCGATAGACATACTACTTTGGATGATCAATCCAACCTGGAGCAACCTACATCCCCAGACAGTCAATCGGTCATACGACTAGAGAGGAACGGACAACCAGCGTATCATCTCAATGACAAATCAAATAAATTTGTTACCTTATTAGTGTCTGTTTATCTGTCTCTCAGTCTGTCTGTCTTGTGCTCGCTCGCTGATAGTGATCAATTACTTTAAATACACACATAAAGGGGTGATGTTAGAGTGTGTGTGAGTGATGTAGCATCGAGATCGACACCTTTAAAGAATACAATGTGGTGTATTTAGTGTGATGACAAATAGAGTAATAGTGAGCGTGAGAGATAGTGAGACAGAGGAGAATTGAATTCAGAGTCAATCATATAACTTCATTATTACCCATTACTCAACCAAATAGTTATAACTACTGGTCAAACAGTCAGCTTTGAGTCATGTCCACTCATGGTCTTCTTGGTGACCAAAGCGATGACACCAAACCGGTCCGTTCGCAGTCTAAAGGTATCTCAATGCAAGGCCCCATCTCCACATCATCAGGAAGATCCTGCGAATGGGAAAGAACTTTATTCAGAGAAAGGTGTCCGGACCTTGGACGATGGTGGGTGATGACAATCAAAAAGGTCATTGTGATAGATACAGAGATCTATCATCAACAGGAGGGCCTGGGCACGGACCACCCATTCACCTGACACCGAACAGAAGATATTTATTTTTTTCATCCTGATTGGCGGTTGGGGCACCCTCAAGGTGGCGATGATGAGGCATTCCATCAACGGATCATAACCACAATGATGTTGTCGTTGATTTTTAATAATTATTTTTTTACAACAATACCTGATTTGATTTGGTTTGATGATGATGATGACATTGTTATAAATAACTCACAGAGTCAGAGTGACAGTAATTCAGTTGGATCGTCGTGTCGTCTGTTTGTTTAGATCTTTTTCAATCATTCTTCTTAACGTTCAACAAATAATATCTATCATCTTATCTTTCTCCACACTTTATTTATTTGTATTATTACAACAACATGACGTCAGTTCTCGTTGAATACATCAACGATGGAGAGGCTGGAAGAGGTAAGTTAGAACTTTTAAAAACAAAAATGCATCAATCACTCACACACATCACTTCAATGATCATCTTAAGATGGACAAAATGGACACAGTGGAAGCAATGGTATGTCCGATGGTGCTTCCGGTTCCAATGGTGGAAATGGTTCAAAGGGTGAGAGAGGTACCAATGCTGGTACCATCGATGTTCAACTATATTCCACTCCTCAGAACCAGATCATGTTGCAAGCCAACTTTGGTGCAAATGAGAGGTATGTGTAACATATTCATCATACTTGATTGATTGATTGATTGACTGACTTTATGTTTAGATCAAGAGGTTTCCAAAAGACCGATGTTATGACCTTGGGCAATGCAAAGAACCAGTTGGTGCTCAGCTCAAGGGGTGGTGACGGAGGTCATGGTGGTGCCGGTGGAAACGGTGGTAATGGTGCACAAGGCTATCGTGGAAGAGATGCCTCTAGAAGCAGCTCTGGTACCGATGGTGGTCCAGGTGGTAATGGTGGTCATGGAGGCAATGGTGCCGATGGAGGTAACTCTGGTAGCGGTGCCAACACCACCATTCACAACAGTGAGCCCGACATGGATCTTCTGATGGTGCTCAAGCAAAGAGTTGGTAACACAGCAGCCGGTAACCCAGGTCACGGTGGTTCGCGTGGTGCCGGTGGCTACGGAGGTGATGGAGGTTGGGGTGGTTCATCCTACTCCTGGTCCGAGGAGCGTTACTACACCGACAGTGAGGGCAACCAGTGCTCAACATCAGAGTCATTTACCAACCCAGGTGGTTACAATGGTCCATCCGGTTCGAATGGTTCAGATGGCCACTCTGGAAGTGATGGTCATTCAGGTGCCGATGGTGCCTTCACCATCAGTCTCAAGATGAACAATGGTCAAGTGTTCCAATATCGCTCACCATACAACCTCGAGGTCAAGAAGATCGACTACTGCGACACCATTGGTTATGGCATCATTGAGCCAGACTCTGATGTCAACCTGTCCGTTACACATACCAATGTTGGAGGCATGCCCACACCCTCCGTCCAGACCATCCACTCGTACGTCTCAAACAATGAGTGGGTTGTCTGTGAGATCAACAACAGAGTGCCAATGAAGAAGTGGATCAACTCCGGAGAGACCACTGCATTGACCCGTCCCATCGTCTACCACGTCAAGGACTTCCGTCAGCAGTTCCCCCTCCCCAGAGAGCCATGGACATCCGTCGGAAAGATGGAGCATCAGGCATTGGTCGAGCGTGTCAATCAGACATTCGCCAACGTTGCCAAGAGTGTACATAACTTCACAATCGAATACCCAGTCCAGGCATCATTGATCAAGGGTCTGGACAGTGTGGAGTTGGGCGATGAGGCACCAATCCTCTTCACCCTCTGGAACAAGTCCAAGCATGGCGTTGGCAATGAGATCCAGTCCGTCCTGAAGCAATCACCAACTAGAATTTTGTTCACCCGCCTCAACATCCATCTGAAGGCACAGGGAGGCACGACCACCCTTGCCCCATCAGACTTTTGTGTCAGAGATGCCAATGGCGTCGTGTTCAAGAACCCAGAGCGTGGATTGCATGCCAACGCCCCCGCCCTTCAGCCAAACAAGCTCAACTCGTTTGCCTCCACACTTCAATTTGTCAACCCAGAGACCAAGCCATACACTCGTGTCCTGGTGGAGTCTGTCCTCTACCTTGGCCACGTCAAGGACATGATGAATGCCCAGCCAATCCAGTCGCGTCCATTCGAGATCCAGTTGTCAGAGGGATACAAGAGCATAGATGCCGACGTGTTGTTGATCACCAACAATCAAACAGAGTATGGTGAGGTCGAGGCCTGGAGAGCTCTGTGTAGTGACCTCGGCTACAACACTGCCGTATGGAACGTCAACCTCTACAAGGATCTCAACCTTGCACACGTCAAGAGCAATGGCAAGTCATTGATGGACGAGTTTGTTGGCAAGAACATCATCTTCCTCAACAACACCTTTGTCCGTGACGAGCGAAGATACGATGCCGTTGGCTTCTTGCGTGCCAAGGAGTTGTTTGCCGCTGCCAAGTTCCGTGGTATCCACACTCTGGTCGTCGGTTCAAGAGGCTGCAACATGCAGTTGGAGTTGGTGCCTGCCGTCGGTGCCGACAAGATGGTATCGATCAGTTACTTCAAGAGTCCAGAGGAGTACACCCGTGCCCTCAAGAGACGTATTCTCCAAGGACCAGGTTCAGCTCTGCCCCTGCCAGCCACCACCACTCCTACACTGTCCTCGATTGTCATGGTGGACAAGAAGCAGCGTTTCGTTGCACTTCACTCACCAATCCACACACTGTGTGTCTACTCTCACCACCACGATGTCTACCCATCCGAGACCATCTACTTGGACACTTTCAGCATCTCGGACATTGGCGAGGACTCCTTTGAGCTCAACCTTACCAAGCTCGACAAGAAGTATATCATCAAGACTTGCACTGACAAGAAGGTACCAGAGAAGATCAACTCATTGGACCCAAGAATGAACTGCACCTTTGATCTGCGTCTGTTGAAGGATACTCTGCGCGCAGTCACCACACCAACCATCACTCAGGTTGACAAGAAGAAGGAGGGCATCCTCGAGATGAGAAAGGGAGACTCTGGTTCCAAGAGCTACACCAAGCGTTTCATCATCTTCAATGGCAAGGAGCGCACCATCACCAAGTTTGACGTCAATGGCAAGGAGCAACAGCAGCCAAAGACCAAGAAGGTGTACTCTCTGAACCGTTTCGCCGTCACCATTGGCAACTACTTTGGTAATGAGTCGAGCAAGGACCATGCCACCACCTTCCAGATCGTCACCTCTGACAAGATCATCTTCTTGAGAGCCAAGACCACTCAGGATAGAGAGGAGTGGATTAACGAGCTCTCTGTGTTGCCAACAGTTGAGATCACTCAGGTGTACCGTGATCCATCGGTGGCCCTCAAGCAGAAGAAGGGACTCTCACCAGATCGTTCCAACGGCAACTTGAAGGACGAGAAGGCCAACGGCATGCAGGAGTTCTACCCAATCAACATCATCCCAGTGAATGAGCGTTACATCTTCACCAAGCCCAAGGACAGAGATCTTGAGCAGATGGCCGTCAAGTTGAACAAGCAACTCAAGAACCGTTTCCCCAACCAGAGAAACATCGTGGTCTATGACCAAAAGGTCTCCAAGACTGAGAAGTTCGCCACCTACTACCTGGGCACTTTGGAGGTGCACCGTTCCCTGGACACCACCACTCCACACATCGTTCAGATCAACATTGAGAACGACTTGGCCATCCATGATCCAAACGCCATTCGCTCCTACCCAACGTTGTACAACGTGCTCAAGACACTGGACTTCTCTCAGAAGCTCACCATCCTAAATGACAAGGTACTCAAGGTGACCGGTGCCACACCAAGAAGCGAGCCATACATCTCCAAGTTTGACATGTGTGGATTGACTCTTCTGTCCATCATCTCTGATATTGCCGAGGAGCAGTTCCACTTCAGAGAGTCCAAGTGGCGTGACAAGGTCAGCTCAGAGAAGATCTACTCGTTCATCAGAACATTGATCCAGATCAAGACCTTCAACTTTGTTGAGCAGCGTGGATGTGACACTCTGTTGGGCGACATCATCCTCGAGATTGGTGCTCATCTCAGCATCATGAAGTCATGCTACACATCCTTGGCCGATAAGTTGCTCCCACACAGACGTTCAAAGGCTGTGAACAAGGGAGTGAAGCGTCTCTATTGGGAGATCATCATGATCCACATTCTTGGATACGACATTGCCAAGGCCGAGAGCACTGACTTTGGAAAGCTTGACTCTGCCTTTGTCAAGTCGGTCAAGGTCAAGATCAACGCCAAGGTTGCCGCATGGGAGGCCCACGCCGTCAAGTCGACACCCCAGTTTGTCTATGGCTACCGCTACGATGAGAAGAGCGGCGAGAAGAAGAAGATTGCCAAGAACAAGGATGTCATCATCGAGTGGTACCGCAAGCCTCACTTCTCCAACTCAATCATCGACACCACTGTCATTCCCGAGGTGGTCATGAGCAAGGACAAGTTCCATTCACTCATTGCTGCTCCTCGTTCCAACGCCGTGTCCGAGACACGTGCCTGCTTCAACACCGAGAACGACAGAGTACAATACGTCAACGACATGTTTGTCCGTGAACTTGGACAGCCAGCCGCAGAGCTCCTCTCACACAGACTCACCGTCAATGAGGTCGTCTAAGCCCAATGCAAATCAACCAAACAACAACACCCCTGATACAAGTAATACTACAATGTCTTGATACATATAATTAAAGGACTATCTATTTATCTAACATCTTGTTGAATTATTTGTCATTATTAACCATTTTGATGAACTTTCTAATATCTTCCGTTGTTGATATATTACTGGATATTGTTGGATATGATGGTTGTTAGGACGTATTGGGTACCAACGAGCAAAGGTGGATACATACATGTACTCTGATTGTGGACTGATTTGTTTCAATAGTTGTGTCAAGACACTGGATGGACCAATCTCGACAAATAAATGTCCAGCATTTCCAGTCTCTGCTTCTTTTGATTTCCAACCATCCAAACAGTATTGAATGGATGATACCCAGTTCACAGTCTCTACCAATTGTCTTGATAGCAATGGTTTAATATCTGCTGCCTCAATGTACTGGTAATTGATTGTTGTTGGTTAATTGGTTGTTGTGTCAACAGTTTAGATTGAAGTACTACTTACTGGTCGACTGGTAACATTTGAGATCACTTGGTAGTTTGGTCGTTTGAAGTTGATATTGTTCAAGTGCTTGCTCTCAAACTCTTGGGAGCATGGTAACATCAGTTTGCTATGGAATGCTGCACTGACTTCCAACTGTTTGATTGACCTACAAAGTCTTTGTTCTTTCAACATCGACATTGTCTTATCTACACCAGACACTGTACCACTGATCACTATCTATTATGATGATGTCAAAGAGTCAGATACGATGATGCACGATGACGATGGTGAGTGACCTACTTGATTTGGAGAGTTGATGTTTGATACATCACATATATCATTGACTGGGTCCTGTCTATATAGTTGTTGTGTGTACTCTTTGATTCGATCAAGAGTTGAGCCAGGTGTTAACATGTCATCCCTTGATAGGACAGCAGCCATTTTGCCTTGTTTCATCTGCTTCATCAGTTGACCACGATGATGCACCAATGGTAGACATTGTTCAAATGTGATTGATCTTGCGGCCAACAGTGATGTGTATTCACCAAGTGAATGTCCCAACACAAAATCAACTCTATTGTCTATTGGTGTTGCTATCAACTCTTGTTCCAATATCTTTAGTATCGAATAAGAGTGTAGCAATACAGCTGGTTGAGTGATCTCTGTTTGTTTCAGCTCATCCTGTTGTTGTTGTTGTTGTTGAAGGCAGAGTTGTAAGAATCATCATGATCGAATGAATCAAGGAGATGGATGCTATCCTAAACAATGTTTGGTCGTACCATTGGCGAATTGAACATCACATTGGACAAAGACATCTGAAGTAGACGATCAGCCTCCTCAAACAAAGGCCGTATATAAGGGAAGCTAGTGACCAAATCTTTAGCCATGCCAACAGTCTGACTTCCCTGTCCAGGGAATAGTAGTGCTATTCTCTTCATTCTCTCTAAATACAATGATCATAAGATCATTAGATTCATTAAAGATCGATGTTTGTGAGTAACCCTAAAAACAAATTAAAATAAAATAAATTAAAAGTTCCCAGGACCCCTTGACAATTGGACCGGTCTGTTGTTCAGCCAGACGAATACATGAGCCATCTTATTTTATAAGTCCGATGATAAAAACAACGTAGTAAACATTCATATAAATGTTATAAACATGTTGGTCGGACTAGTATATGATATCATATTCTTATGCATATCTTTTATAATATATTTTACATATCATGTATATCTATTCATTCGAGTCAAGAATTCAAAGACATCTCACTTAACGTGGATCGGAAGAAATGACTCTTATAAGAGGCAGTGGATTGAACTAATGGTATCTGGTAAAAAGGTGATCTATCCATATATTTGATTCAAACGATGATCTTTAAGATGGGAACAACATGATGAACTAATACTAACTCCCATTATCCAGGATATACTTGCAGTTCAAACACTTAGGAACATGGTGATGGCATCATCACTATTAGCAACAGCGTCGATTACACTTGTAGTACTACTACTGAATATATTGGTGTCAAACAATCTATCCAATGTATTTGATCAGATCAGTATCATTGGAGCAACAAACTCTAGGATATTGGTATACAAATCATTCCTTCTGATTCTGGTGTTCCTATTTGCCTTTCTCAACTTTGCCACAGCGATACGATACACAACGCATCTGGCATTCCTTATCAATGTGGCACCCTATCATTCAGAGTGCACACCAAGGTACTTGAACAAGATAATGCACAATGCCAGCAATCATCATACGTTTGGTGTTAGGTCATTCTACTTCTCCCTACCTGTCATTCTGTATGTTGTATGTCACTTGTGACCTTTACCATTATATTCTAACAATATTACATTGTATATCTAGATGGTTCTTTGATCCAATATTTCTATTAACAGGTACATTGATGCTAACCGTTTGGCTATACTTTGGAGATATATCCGATCTAATTATACCAATTGAAGAAAAGAAGAACAAGTCAAAAAGATCTTCAGATACTGATCTAGAGGCTTTAGAACTACCATCAAGTGGTGCTGGTGCTGCTGTGTCCGAAGCAGACTAATAATTAACGATCGATCGATCGATTGAACATTACAATATATGATTTATAAAGACATAGCTTTACCTCCACACGTGGTGGTGTTGACAATACTCGGACGGTTGTCTGTCTTGGACTACAACCTTAGACTACAACCACTGAAGATGGCAGGATGGAGAATCGGTATACATCGTGCACCTTCTTCAAACGGGAGGTACGTTCATCGGCTCGCTTGCCCGTCACAACGAGGTCATGTAGGTCGTCTACCATCAGTCTGTTAATGTTGAAGAAAGAGTGGTGTCGCTCCGACATGTTACTGTCCAGATCACCAGTATCGATAATGTCCACATCAAGTGCACGTCCATACACATCACTGATTAGGTTAACTAGTAATGTGGGTTGGGAGAGTTGTTAATATGTGAACAATGCTAACTAGTCATGGTATTAAAACTCACTGTTGTTGCCAAGGTTCTGCTTTTGTAGCATCTTGAATGCCATCTTGATGGCCATATCACGATGATCTGCGTATATTGTCATCTTTGGACAATACTATGTTGGTTATGTGATTTGGTGTATGTTAGGATTATAATATGGTATGTTGAGTGATGCTGTGATGACAACTTACATTCCTTAGCTCATCATAGTCATTCTTAAAGGTCTCAATCTCATAGTCTGGATTGAGGAAGATAAGGTTGGCCAGTTGTATCTTTGATTCATCATAGCCTGCACCACGTGATGATGATGGGGAGGAGGTCTCTGGCACCGTTGGTACACCACTGAAGCTGACATGTGGACTGAGCACCATGCGTTTACCAAAGGCTTTCTTCACCTTGGAGAATGAACGCAGGAAGAATCGTGTGCCCATGCTATGACACATAATGTGAAGTGTGCGGATGCCTGCATGTCCAAGACTCTCGATGAACTTTTGTAGGTCGCGGTGATTGTCATTGTCAGAGGCGATGGAGTGTGCACACCAGTAGAGAAGTGAGCTGGTGGATGATGGCCAGTTGAACACAAATGGTTTCAGATAGCTTGGGAAGTGACCAAGTGCAAGGAACTGAGCGAATCGTTTGATGGCATCCTTCAGATCGTGATCATAGCCATGAATAAAAAGTAGTCCCTCATTGGACTGACTGGATATCCAGTTGTTGTCCAATACCAAGCTCTTGACGTTTGCCTTTTCCTTGTTTGCTTCCAAATTGATTGTGACTTTTGATTGAATCTGTTTGTGATTGAGTTACATGGGTGTTAGTGACATTGGTGACTTTTAAAGGTTGTTCATCAATTAAACATACATGTTGTCTTGGTTTATGACCAGATACCAAGAGTGTATCCAACTTTCTGTCAACTGATACTACAACAGAGGACTAGATTGGTTTTGTTACGTTAGGATGTATCCATGACGTAGTGTATATTTCGAGAAGTTTAAACTTACGATTGTCTTGTCCTCATCAATATGTCTATAGCTCCTATTGTCAAAGAGCTTCTTAATACAAATGCACTTCTTCTTGCAAGAGCAGTGATCTGGTCCTTTGATCATGCTCACCTTGGGGTAGCCCTTGAAGAAGTTACCAGAGACACAGCACTCAACTGCTGCGACACCAGTGTGTAGTGGCACTCTGTCAAGCCAACTCTTACCTCCACCATTGGTACCGTAAACAATGCGGAGATTGACCAAGAGGGAACGTGTGTCATTCTCCATGCTCTCAAATGGTCCAAGGGGAATACCATTCTCCCAGTAGCCAGAGAGTAGCTCGCCTTGATAGCTTGTGTCCATCCATGTGCCAATGCCATGTGGACGTCCATCGACGAGAGGTCCTTCATAGATGCATGTCGTGGGTGTTCCAATGAGACAGTTGCGCTGCTTGATTGTGAATCGATTGCTCTCGCCCTTTGTCCATGCCTCTTTGTCGGCCATAAGTGTCAGTGCACCAGTGATCGAGTAGATGCAACGCATGATGTAGGGATAGACAAAGAAGCTGATGATGGTCAGCACCAGTATGCCACTGGCCAAACAGAGCAATGGGATATAGTACTGTTTCTTGTAGTACAGATCAAATATGAAGAATAGATACAGTGTGACGTAGGCCTCCAAGAAGACCATCCTGACGATCCATGCAAATCTTGGAAGTATAAGTCCAAGTGATATTGATATGAATCCCATCAATATGAACTCTAATATAAATCCCTAGTGTGATAGAGTGTTAGTGTATGTATGTTGTTGAAAACAACAACAACAACAAGGTACACATACATCAGTCCTCTTGAATTTGTATATCTGTAAGAATAGGTATACACCGTATGCAGCCAGGAACAATGCAGCCCAGAGTAATGAGAAGCCTCTCTTCTCATTAGATAGTGATCCTCTCTGTAGTCTTGACCATTGTCTCTTCTTCATGAACCAGAATGTACTTTGGTTTGATTGTGTAAGTGATCACTGATTGATATGATCTGACCAAACTAAAGTATGTGTACTTACTACTCCAACTCATTTGTAGTGGTATCTATGGTCTCTATTTGGTTGTCATCGTCCACTCCGTTTAGAGATGCAGACATTGGTATAGATTTATGTAAGGTGTAACTATTGTTGTTGACATTGTTGTTGCTACTAGATGTACCTGGTGGTATTGTAGGGGAGCTAACACTGTTCCTCCTAACATACTCTATGTTCTCTTTTAAATCACTTCGATATCTATATGTGTGTGTGTCAGATCAGGTCAGGTTAGTTATCAATCATCAACCACATATATATAAAGACAACAACCGAATCATACACATTGCTAGTACCCAACAAGTGTGTCCTTTCATCCATGTTGCTAGTACTGTAATATTTATCTATTTGTATATATATACTATGATACAAATAGTAATTGACTTATGCTCAACAACACAAGCAAAAGCACACACATTCTCTACTACTCTCAGTGTCCTGAAACTTGACGACCAAGGTCAAAAAGATCTAATTATATGAGGTGATATCAGATTCCTGGCAACAAGTCATCAAGATTGCATGAAAGAATGGAAAACTAACTAACTAGTTGCAGCAAATTATTAATTGATCAAATCACGAGGCGATACATACTCAACCGAATCTGAGCAGAGATTGGCATTGCATTCCATGTCGACATGTAACTCCAACAAGTAACTTGGCCAACATACCCTTGGATGTTATGTACAATGATGGGCAATCAATCAATCAATTGATTACCACCTTTAGAGCTTTATATAAATATCTATATTACATGGCCAGATAGATAGAGTAGACCACAGAAAGTCGACTATCGAAAGTATGAATGTTTGTCATTCAATCCACATAGATTCCTAATGGATGCCAGCTGTTGTTGATAGAAATTGATATACTGAGACTTCTTGTCGTAGAGTGGAATGACCTCTGTGTAGCCCGCTATATGGTCAAACGTCTGTCGAAGATGTCTGTTGACAATGGAGAGATTCTCATTGGAGATCCTCTTGTAAAATGACATTAGCAATGGTATCACTCCATTGCTGTATGTCTGTAAATGATTGATTGATTAATTGATTGATTTGTGGTTGGTGTGTTAGTTGACTCATCCATCATTGTTGTTAACAACTACTACATACTTTAAAAACTGGAGTATCGTTGTGTCTGTGGTAATGTTCTAAGATATCTATTGAGACCTTCAGGGGTATCAGCTCCTTGATTATCATCTCTTCATGTATCAGTTTCTATTGACCAAACATTAACGATTAGTGTCTGATCAATATAGAGAGCTCTATATACTAAACATACCTTGGCCTCATGAATTGAGGGGAGATGTCGAATGAAGCGGTAGAGCTGTTGAATGGACTTGCCAGTGGTCTTGTCATAGAGAAGTAGATAGTAGGAGAGCATTTGGGAGAGGAACTTATGATTTCCAAGTTCAAACTCGATGAGTTTACCCTTCTGTAACTTGTTGTAGACGTAGAGACCTGCCAGACCATATTTGGAAACGACTGGATTGAACATCAACACTTGATCACTGTGTCTTGATAGATGAAGGAAGCTGTCCACTCGACCGGCATCATCACTCTCCTCCTTGCTACTATTGTCATCCTTGTCGGTCTGTGCCACCATATCATCTGTATCCTCATCATCATCTGCCTCGGAATCGCATCCAATAGGGTCCTCCATGATATCCTCATCATCCACCTCGTCGTCGTCGTCATCCTCCACATCAACGTCCTCATCCTCGTCATCTTCATCTTCATTATCGACTTCTTGCTCTGCTTCCCAAGAGCCCTGGAAATCTTGAAGGTACTCAGTATCGTAGGGACGAGGGAAGATATGAAATGTATCCTCTCCATAGTGATCCTCCTCTTCTTCTTGATCGTCATCATTGTGTTCAGGGTGTGGATTGAAACTGAATCGTACATTCCTAGTATGTCCAGGATCACTCCTGACCTCCACATCAGATTGTGTATAATTATGATAATTAATATATACATCATCATCATCATCATCATAATCCATGTCTTGGTCACCCTCCTCCTCCTCCTCCACGTCTCCATCCTCCTCTTCCTCCTGATTATCGACCATTTCTTGATTTCCATCACCATCATCGTCATCTTGTTGTTGGAGATAGAGTTCTAATTGTCTTTGGATTTGGTCATCGAGTTGTTGTTGTATCTGGTCATCTATTTGTTGTTGAATTTGATCTTGTAACTGTCGTTGAATATGATCATAGAGAGTACCAGTGTTGTTGAATTGATGAAGGAATGTATCATTGTTGATCTGGACAACAAGCGGGATGCCTTGATATGACCCTTGAATATCCATCTCATCATCATCATCTTGATTGTTCTGGCCATCATCCTCTTCTTCATCATCACCATCAGCATCAGTATCATCTAGATGACCAACATTGTTGTCCACAGTAGTTTGGTGATGATCAATATGGTCATCGTCTTCTTCCTCCGCTACATCATCATGAACATGTGCACTATAGTGCGGATTGGTATTGTCATTGTCATTGACCATTTCTCTCTATCTCTATCTATCTATCTCTCTCTCTCTCTCTTTCACTTCTTGTACTACAACAATAGAGTGGAAAGTCATTGTATAAGTGTTACTGGCTCAACTTGACCCGATATTACAAGAGTCTGTTACTTACGAGATATCAATGACAATTGATAAAACACATATAAGGTACCTCTCTGTATACACACAGACTGACTCCTGTATATCTTTATATCTATCTATCTATATATATCTATATATCTATCTTTCTATCTGTCAACTCTCTGTTCAATTCGTGAATAAAGGGTGTGAAGTGAATGTCCTTCTATCTTAGACACTCTCAAACACACACTGAATGTGTGTTGTTTGTGGGCCAAACTCTCTTTCTATCACCCTCTTTCAATTACAAGTGTCCAAGAGAGTATATAGAGTATTGTTTACTACCATGATAATCAATCTCTGTCAATCTCACTCTCTCTTACTCTCTCTCTATCACTTAATGAGATAAACATTCTTTGTAACCAGAGTTGGTGACGGAAAGAGAAGAAAAAACTCACACGAAACATCACTATTGTTTAAAGCGTTTAGTTACACGATTACAAATAGATATATATAAAGAATGTTGACTGCTACTCGTTCATCATCAGCGTTGTTCAGGAGACTGTCGACAGTCTTATCAACAAGCAACAACAACATGATCATTTCATCATCGTCATGTTACTCGTTTAATCATTCATACTCTACAGCAACAGCAACAGCAGCAACAGAACAGACATCAGAAACAACAACGCCATCACCAAAGACTACAGTTAAGCAATATAAACTAAACCCTGCATCGCCATTGCAATTCCCAATCAATCCAATCACCAACATCAACTCGATCAAGCCACGTGGTGTTAGCGAGAAACTACCATTCCACTTTGAGCGAACTGATAGCGGACGTCTGCCCGTCTACACTGATCTGATTCGTAGCAGAAGGACTGAAGAGACTGTCCTCAGAAGATATTCAGGTGATGTCAATGTATGTGTCGTCGTGAATCATTCAATCACAGGACTTGTCGATTAGTCATCTTACATTATCAATGTTCATTCAACAGGTTATAATACAGGAGCTCAGGAACATCGTTGGAGACAATGTAGAGATCACTCAAAGAGAGGGCACAATCAGATTGAAAGGAAAGTACACTACTCATCTGCTGATTTGGTTGTCGGCACTCGGTTTCTAAAGTGGTTGTTATCAACAACAGAGACGAGACAAACGATAATAATAATAATAATAATAATAATAAACCTTGAAGACGGTAGTAGCGTATATGATCGAAATGACCATTTCAATTCCTTTATTAGTTCTTCAATACATAACAATCAAACAACAAACTACTACTAACCGCAGTGGCAGACGTAGGAAACAATAGGTTCATCATCATTAATGACTCAGACCTCAATTTGAGATTGGCTTGTACTCTACAACATTGGCTTTGGTCGCGTTGCCACTGAGGAAGCTTGCAAAGTTGTTGATGGTGGTCTTGCATATCTCATCAAGTGACTTGTTGGTGAACCATGCCTGGTGGCCAGTGACCAGTACGTTACAGAACGTTGTCAACCTGGCAAGCTTGTCATCCTGAATGATGGTCTCACTCTTGTCCTCAAAGAAGAGGTCTGCCTCCTCCTCATATACGTCCAGACCGAGATAACCAATCTTTCCAGATTTGATACCCTTGATCACTGCCTTGGTATCGACCAATCCACCTCTTGAAGTATTGATGATCATCACATTGTTCTTCATCTTGTCAATTGTTGTTGGATTGATCATATGTTTCTTATTTGATGTGCATTTCAGAGTTAGACAAGGTAATGACATATGTTCCACTTTGAGTAAGTACTTACGGTATCCTTTAACAATGGAACATGGAGGGAGATGATATCAGATTGAGCCCATATCTCTTCAAGTGAGACATACTTGACACCCATCTTGATACATTCTGGATTCTCCCTAACATCATAGGCAATAACCTTGCAACCGAATCCCATCAGGATGCGACATAATATCATTCCAATATTGCCAGTTCCACAGACTCCAACAGTTTTACCATTCATTTCAAAACCATCCAAAGAGCTCAGCTCAAAGTTGCCCTCAAACACTTGATGAATCGTAAGAACTGGTCAGTTGATACAATTTGGTATTGGTTACGAGTGATATGATACATACCCCTCCTGGATGCCTTGATCAATCTTCTGTTTAAGGTTAACATCATGGCAACAGCATACTCTGCGATTGAGGCAGGTGAATATCCCGGAACGTGCATCACAGTCATACCTAGATCCTGCGCCACCTTGAGATTGACATGGTTGAATCCAGTTGATCTCAACAACAATACCCTTGTTCCACCCTGATGAAGAATATGTAATGTCTTATCATCTACTACGTCATTCACGAATGGACATACTGCAGTGTGACCTTTAGCCAAACTGGCCTAGTTGTTTATATAATGTTATTATTAATATTAATAATAAAAAGTTGGAAATTGTTAAACTTACAGTATTTTCATTGAGCTGAGCATCAATATTTGTTATCTTGTACTTGTCGATACCGCTGACCGACTCAAAGTGTTTATCCCAGTATTTCTTTGCTGAGAACATTGCAATCTTGTTATTATTAGTCTGTGCCATTCCTAATTGTATATATTTTATCTACTAATAGAATTAGTCGTAATATAATAATATTTAGAGTAAGTAGTTAATGATGTTGTTGTTGTTGTTGATGATGTTGATAATGTTTAATTTGTGTGAACTTACACGCACACTCACACACACTTGGAGTGGTAGTCCAGCCAATAATAATTGGGCAACACGACCGTGGGGTTGTTGTAGACTCACCACCTTTGTCTATTATTATATTTGTTGATAATGGATCAAGATTTGCCCTTTTTAATTACCTGAGTAGGGTAAATCGGTCCGTGTAGGGCCTTGTAAAGGCACGAAATCACACAGATCAAAGTCTTGGGACCTAATGTCGTTGTTGTTTACTTTGGCATCCGGTCGCTCAAGGGTTATCCTCTTCATGGCAGGGGCTACACCTTGATTTACAACCTTAAAATTGTACTGAAATGATTCTCTATTGAATTCAATCATAATCACCTGATGTCTTGAGACCACTAAAGTTGTGTGATCAATTTATATTGTCTGAACTAATTAATCAACGAAAGGGCTATTGAAAAAAAACGAACGAAAGTAAGAAACATACTAAGTTTTGACAGATAACAAACAAATACATACAAACATTATATCTTACAACTTCAGCACTATAGTATCATTAGATCATGGAACAACTAACAGAGCTAATACCTTTCCTTCAAGAGCAAAAGCCAGAGGTATGAACATATTCAAGAGATTGATAGAAATACTGACGGATATCATTTTACTAATCTATATCAATATGCCTAATGAATAAAGATTAAGATCTTGGCGTTGCAACATATCTCTGGTGTATCAGGTGATGCAGAGGCCATTGAGGTACTCAAGAAGACAAATATAGTAGTACATCTCATTAGACTCATTGGTGATGAAAATAATGTAATGTTGTTGTTGTTGTTGTGATGACATAGATTGTAAACAAACTAACGAATGAATCAATGATTGAATCAATGAATGAATGAATCAAACAGACCATCAATCGATTGGCAATGACAACATTGATCAACTTTTGTCAGGACAGAGATATGCTCAGTGACATTGTCAAGAGGAACATCGTACCTAGACTGGTGGATGGTGCATGCGATATAAAGAACAAGTTGAGAGAGGTCTACTCCATACTATTGTCAAACATTACACATACAAAGGAGGGATGCACACAGTTAATGCAGGTAAGTTTATCGAATTAACACTTTCATTCATTCATTCATTCAATCATGATTACTTAACACTGGACACACATATCATTTAGTATGGAAGAGAGCTACAGGGATTCTATATATTGAAGTTAGCCAATATGTTGACTTCACCAACCGATGGCGAGGACAAACTCAAGAGCACAAAGGGAAATTGGGTGGTCAACATCCTTCTCAACGTTACACAGATCGAAGAGGGAAGACGTATCATCATGAACAAGGACAATGGCATTATCGGTGGTTTACTGCCACTGTTTGAGCATCAAAGCGTCATTATTCGTCGTGGCGTCGTTGGCATCGTGAGAAACTGCTGCTTCGACGAGGCCGATCATCCAGCACTGTTGGACAGCAAACTGGATGTGCTCACCAAGCTCCTGTTAATCATTAGAGGTCCAGACATTCTGACTGACGAGGAAATGCAAGGCATGAACCCATTGCTCCACAACCAGCCACATCAACCAAGTGTTGATCGCGAAGAGGACAAGGAGACAAGAAAGTCCGTCATCGATTCACTCATCTTCCTCACTGCAACCAGAGAGTCTAGAGATCTAATGAGAGCTGTTAAAGTGGTAAGTTGTCAACATCGTGTCACAGATGTCAATGTGTAGATACTAACAAATGATGTTGATGATCACTGTAGTATCCAATCATTAGGAACTATCATTTGGTGGAGAAGGATGAGGAGATTGGCGATAACATAGAGAAGGTTGTGGATATGTTGATCAGAGATGAAGAAGATGAACAGGATCAATCAACTAATAACAAGGATGATAATGTGGAAGCTGTCAGCAACAACAACAACAACAACAACAACAACAACAACAATAACGATGATGATGATGCCTCTGCAATTGAGGAGATATAATAAACCAGTTGGTTGATACTATCGATAGTTTATATGTTTGTTGTTGATGTCACTCCGTACTATTACTACTTGTTAGCAGCATTCATGGTATACATTGTGCCACATTCCATCCACATCGCAGCAATGCCAGCAGCATTATCGGTAACATCGCTGATTGTCTGTGCCGACTCCATTGGGAATCGCTTCAGGACAAAGGATGCCTTGTCCTCGCCAGGACGAAGCATTCCAACGCCAATCCTCAGTCTGGCAATCTTCTCTGTGCCCAAACGATTGATGATGTCCTCCATGCCCTTCTGACCACCAGAACCTCCATAGCGCAGACGTGACTTTCCAAGTTCAAAGGCAATATCGTCGACCAACACCAGTATGTTCTCAAAGGGAACGTTGTAGGTGCTTGCCAATGCTCTGACACATCCACCACTTAGGTTCATGAACTTTGTAGGCTTGGCCAATATCACCTCGGCAACTATAGTCTTAACTTCCTTTGGTTGCTCTACCTGTGCCAACACCTCTTCCATCTGTATTGTTTCTTTTTCTGTCACTTCCTCCTCCACCTCTTTAGATTGTTCAGGTATTACTGTTGTTGTTGAGGTTGCTGTTGTTGTTGTTGTTGTTGTTGTTGGTGACACAACTACCTTATCGCTCTTGTTCTGCTTTTGTTTGTTATTTGTCCTCTTTGGTCGTTCAGCCAAGTGTAGCCATATTGTAGTGATGAGTGAATGCTTAATGTCTTGATTGATCTCTGTGCCCAGTAGCTTGGCCAATCTATCTATAGCTAGATAACCAATGTTGTGTCGTGTGAAGCTGTACTCCTTGCCAGGATTACCCAAGCCAACTATGAGGAATCTGTACTTTGCTCGAACCAACTCATCAGGTCTTGGACGCACCAGTGTTCTCAGTTCATTGTACTTCTTGTCTTGAAAGATGGTCGTACACTTTGATAATACCCTAGCAGGTCTTGGTTTCGTTGGTCCTATCGGTCTATTGTTATTGATGCTTCTGTTGATGTTGTTGTTGTTGTTATTTGTCGTTGTATAGTTATAATGTGTGTTCCAATATGGTTCAGTCAACAAGTGTGTTCTTGAACAGCCATGTTGCACAGACAAAGCACTCGTTTGACTTATCAACAAAGGGCTGGTCTGACTTGATGTTATGATATGTCTCAATCTAATCATGTTTATGTTTATGTTGACATTTTAATGTTGTTGATTATTGTCGTGCTTCTCAAACTCATCAACATCGTAATCATCGGGTGGACAGTTCAAGATCAGTTGCAATTGAACTTCTTGAACACATAAACACAACTACTAACTGGAAACAGATAAAGATAGAAAGAATGAAGAGATATATGATACTTCTTCCTCCTTGTCCATGACATTGACCCGACCCTACTTACATGGACATGGTTTGTCTCGGCTTCTGACTCAAATACCAGCAGACACCTTTCGGCCGAATGATAATGCCGAAGGCTTCCCATGTCCTCAGTGATGTCATGCAACGCAATAGGTAGGCAAGTCCCGCTTGGGAACAAAGTGATCGATAAGTCCCAAGACAGATGTTTCTTTGGAGAGATACAAAGAGAGTACGTGAACACTCAAACAAAAGTGAGTCTCGACTTCTTCTGCAGACACTTGGGAAACGCAACAAGCCCAATCCAAAAATATCATAAAGTCAAGATTGATTAGCAAATGCCGGCTAGTGACCCATCGAACGAGCTGCCAATGCCACAACAATGAATTCAGAGTGTGTAGCACAATTCATCATTGATACGACAGTAGTAATAATTCAAAATAATAGGTTGTCGTTGATGGTTATTACCCACACGAACAACAACATCAATATCAGCAACACGTTTGGATTGTCCTCCACTTCCAAACACACCACCACTCTCACTGACTGTGTCATCATCATCATCAATTGCAACTACTCAGGGTGTTGTTCCACATTCATTATTCAATAGATTTATTTATAATAGATATATATATATATTTGTATAATCCAAACATGTCATTCTTGTTGGATCAATTAAACATCCACTCAGTGGATGATGTTGTTCAGACAATCCAGAATTTTAGATGGGAGGCTGGAGTAACACCATTCTCCTCAATATGGTCACCAATAATTGGATCCCTAGGCTATCTGGTGGTGATCTATCTCCTCCAGGTCTACATGAAGAACAGGAAGGAGGTTAAGCTTCACTATATATGTTTGGCTCACAACCTGTTCCTGTCACTCTTGTCGCTGGTAATGTTGCTTGGAGTGATGGTGCCCCTCTTCATCACCGAGATACCACAAGGACTTTACCATATGGTCTGTGCACCAAAGACAGATGGAACAGTTTCCTTCTTCTACTATATTTTCTACCTCAGCAAGGTGTATGAATTCCTTGACACCATATTCCTCGTTCTTAGAAAGGTATGTTTATTTGGAAGAAGATGACAGAGCTAATATCAGATAGTAATAGATATGGACATTAGACTCTAACAACATCCATCCATCCATACATACATACCTGTTCATTCATTTAAACAGAAAAAACTTATCTTCCTCCATGTCTACCATCACTTTATTACATTCTGGTTGTGCTGGGTGAACCTTGTGGAGAACACTGGAGTACAATGGGGCGATATTAGTGCCAACTGCTTCGTACACATCATTATGTACTACTACTACTATCAATGCGAGCAGGGCAACAACCCATGGTGGAAGAAATACATCACCCGTGTGCAGATCATCCAGTTTGTATTCGACATGTCACTGCATGGAATGTGGCACTATTACGTCGGTACGTCGACACCTTGCAATGGATCGCTGCGAGGTACACTTTTCTCGGACTTTGTTATCATGAGCTTCCTCATGCTCTTCCTCCAATTCTACTTTAGAAGCTACAAGCGTCCAGCAGCATCATCTGCCGCCGCTGTTGCTTCAAACAAGGACCAGAAAAAGACTCAATAATAATAATAACAATAATTCAGGAATATATATATTATTATTATTATTATTTGATCATTGCTTTGATTATGGGTTTGATCAGAACTTCCTCCTTTTTTTGGTTTTTGAAGAAGTATCTGAATCGATTATTCATCAGAACTTTGCAAACATTGTATTTGAAGTATTAGTAATAGTAGTTGTTGTAGTTGAGTTGGACTAACAACTGATCCAACATCATCAACAACAACAACAACAACAACAACAACATATCTTAATAACGACAACAACCATGACAACAACAACAACAACAACAACCCATCTATCATTAGAGTCTGTGGACAGTGTACTTGCCCCAGTTGGAGGAAGTGGACGTGTCAAGTACACTTGTCTCGATGTCTCTAGACGATACCTTGTGTTGGGTGCCAACACTGGTAGCATCTACTTCTTTGAGAGGAAGATGGTTCAGTCACAACAACATCAACATCAACAACAGTCGATAATGCCAATGCTATTAAACAATGACGGAGTGGTGTTCAATCAGATACTGTCATTCAACGACATTAGAGATTCGATAACTAGCATCAAGATCAATCCGACAAATGACAACTTGGTGGCCATCGCCACTCAAAAGGTGATCTTTGTCATTGAGCCCAACCTGACGATACGAAAGGAGAAGGAGAAGATTCTGTTCAAGATGACCGACCATCCACGCGACACAGAGACCACTTGCATCGTATGGTCACCGTGCGGCAATTATCTTCTTAGTGGTGATGACGGTGGCAATGTATTTTGCTGCTCCATTCCAAAGGCTAGACGTGCTTTCTTCTTTAGTGCAGAACCTGTCTGCAAGTTGGACTCTAGAGTGGTTCAGTTGGACACTATCCTGATAGCAAGGGAAGGCGCACCTCAACAACCTACCCAGACGACCACAGCGGCAGCAGCCGTTTCACAGACATCAACACTCTCGATCCTGGCATCCTCTCTCACCAAGACATCGATCATCAACTACCAAATTGGCTCCAATGTCTCTGGAAAGCTATTGACCACTGTCCAGGTGGGCAAGAAGCTGAGAGAGAAGCCTACCAAGCAGGGTGCTTGCTTCCATCCACTCTCCACCACCTCTGTCTATGCCTCGAGGCCTGGAAAGAGATTATGGTTGGCTGACAGCGTTGAAGGAACCGTGTTGTCCACGATGAACTTTAAGTCTGGTGGAGAGGAAGGAGCAGTGGTTGTCACACCAATGCCTCTCTCATCTGACCTGTCCTCACCAATGTTGCCCCCTGGTGTGATGTCCTTTGCCCGTTTGCTCCCTTATGGAGCGTTCGTAGTCTCATTCGACGAGAAGACTTTGCTTCTGATCGACGTCAATGAGGTCGAGGTGTTGGAGTGGAGAGTCGACAGCACTCTCTTGCAGGACCTTTGTGTTTCTGATGATGCCATTTACATTCTCCATGGACCAAACAGAACAATGTCACGTGTCTATCATGCATCAACTCAACAACAACATCAACAGCAGCAACAACAACATCAGCAGCAAATCGCATTCACTGTCCCAACATCTGTACCAGTACCTGTACCAATACTTTCTTCGACTGTAGCCCAACAAACGGCTATGGAGTCATCTCCATCATCTGGCATTGTTTCAAAGCCAGCTACCCAGCCATCAGAAATAACTCTTACAGATGACACCAAGATGATCACTACAACAACAGATGTCGCTACATTGGTCGACACCCAAAAACCACCATCATCGACAAACGGCACAACAACCAATCAACCAATTGTGGTTGTAGAGAATGGTCATATTGATGAACCAAAGAATGGTAAGTTCAAAGATCAAGTTGATTGAATACAACACTTTACTCACACTTTCTCTTCAACAACAGAGATAGCATCTGAGCTCTCCAAAGACACTCCCTACACTTTGACCGAGGAGAATTCGGCAGACACAATCAGTTTGACCAACAGCACAAGTTCAATGACACTTGAAGATGTGATCGATCAACCACAGCAACCCAACGACACCGCCGCCACAGCTGTTACCCCTACGGCGCCTCAACCCTCAACCAACTTTGGTCATACCAGGACCATATCCAAAGAGAACATCTTTGCGCAGATTGAGGTGTCCAACAACCCACTGGTGATTGCGACCACTTCCACCACCAGAAAGAAGAAGAAGAAGCCAGAAGGCCTTCCAGTCAATCCACTCAAGACCTCTGGTGCAGATGTACCAAACACCACCACTGCTGGTAGCTCCATGTTGTCGTCCTCTCAAGATCAATCACTCAACTCATCATCGTCATCCATCACAACAGAGGATGCTGGCAAGGGAGAGCCCACATTGGAGTTGAAGAACTCCACTGGTGTCAAACGTACCACCGTCATCATCAAGAAGAAGGTGATCAAGAAGAGCACAGCAAACAGTAGCAGCAGCAACATTGTGACACCAACTGAAGTCTCACCCGTCATTGGACCAAATGCTTCCACTCTTCCCTCGGCATCACTCCCACCCCTCTCGAGCTCAACTCCAACCATGTCCGATAAGCCACCCTCACCTACCAAACCCGAGCAACACCCAGTGACGGACACCACGTCCACTGCCAACCAACCTAATCAGCAACAACAAACTCCACCATTGAGCTCATCAAACTCAACAACAACAGCACCAACACCATCTCCACCTTCTCAGCTTGCTGGCCTAAAGACCAGTGGAATATTTAAGGGAATCAGTGCTGCTACGAACTCTATCCAGGAGATAAGACAACTGGCCGTTAACAAGATCCAAAAGGTAGACCTCAAGTCCGAGTTCTCGACTATATCACAAAAGATCCAATCCAACTTTGGCTCAGTGACTAGCACCCCAACTACATCGACACCTCCAACGCTCGAGCAACATGTTGATCCACTGGCCCTTGAACCAACCCAGCCAGCTTCAGTTGAGAATGTCCAGCCAGTCGCACAACCTCCACCACCACCCGAGTTGACACCAGTAGAGCTCCTCGACAAGCTCACACGATCGACATACGACGCAATGCTCGCCTACCACTCAAAGAAGATCGAGGCCGGTGTCCTCCCACTTCTTCAGCCATGGCTACAGGCATTCAACCGTGTCGAGTATGTAGCACCTTCGGAAATGGTGTCCGAGATCATCACTGGATGCTTCTTGTTGGGCGTCAACCCTATGTCATACGACTCACAGGGCAGGCTTTGTCGTTGTTGGAATGAGACCAGTGCTCGAGAGACGATAAGGAAATACTTCACCTATCTCGACTGCAACAAGATATATCCCTACGTCAATGAGAGACAGTGGGACTCCTGTACAGACACTTTGTTGGACATGGAGACATTTGCAAGACAGAACTCAAAGGTCATTGCCACATTGAACACCTTTATCGACAGCAATGATGGTACTGGCTGCATCCAGTATCTAGAGAATCATCTCGATGATATTGGTCTGCTATTTAGGTATATGGAGATTCTTCTCGATTCACAGACCAAGTTGTCTACACTTTTCTACGCCAGCCGCTATCCAGTGATTCTGCCTCGCAACATTCTAAAGTTTGTTGATCAACGCCCCGCAGCCCGTCTAGCCGTCAAGTTTGAGTACCTAAACCACCTGATGATCAAGACGCCCGAATGTCGAATGGACACCAATCTCATGGAGGACTGGTTCCTCTCCAACCTGGTGCATTTGCAGCCACCCAAGGATCAGTTGTTCATTACCAATGATAACATACCAGAGACTAGACGACCTAGAGTCGGAGCACATCTCATCGAATGGAAGCACTCTGTTCAATTGATGTCCATCATCAACAAGGTCGTCAGCAACGAGTACATATTCAACATCTCCCGACTGGAGCACCTGTGCGAACAACATGGATTCTTTGAGGGACTCCTGGCCATCTACAGCCACCTCTACAGAACATTTGGCGCCAAGTCACACAGCTACAACGAGGAACTCCGCAACCAATATGTACAGAAGCTGCTCAACCTAGTTGTTGCCACAGACAACATCGATGCCCTCACCAAGGTCATGGAGAACAACATTGACCTAGCCCTGTGGACAACACTGCTGGAGAAGATGCAGGAGCAACGTGACTACTACAACAACATCTTCTTCAATCGTGACACTGCCTTTGCCATCTCTGAGCCGTTTGCCGCACGACTGATGGGACGTTCGATTGGTGCCCTACAAGCCATTGACCTGCTCTTGACCTCCTCGCTGTTTGAATCTGCCCAACTTCCATCGGAGCTATTCTCGGAATGGATACGCAATGGAAAGTGGACAATGTACAACAGGAAGTCAATCGCACATGAAATACTATCTCGTTTGGACAGTTACCTCTGGACCAAGAAGCCTATGAACCTATCTCCACAGATCTGGTCTCTGGTCGTAGATGACCTGAATCATTTCCATACCCCAACCGGTCTAAAGGCACATCATCAAACACTACAGCAACAGCAACAACAACAACATCAACAACAAGATTTGATTAGTTCTACCGAACTAAATCAATCATCTTCATCTTTAGCAACTACGACAGTGAACTTGGGTGTCACACCACAGTTCTTTGAGGACTCTAGCTTCCACTGGGGTACCGAGACCGAGCTGCACGGTGGACAATGTCCAGTGTGCACACTGCCGCTCATCGAGAACCCAGAGTCTAGCTTCCTTGGTGTGACTCCGTCCAGTGTCATTGTTTTCCCATACTGTGGACACTCCTACCATCAGTGCTGTATTGAAGAACAAGGTTGTCTGCTATGTTACTCTCAAAGAAAATAAAGTGTACAACGATTGTACTGTACTGATGATTGAGTGATCATCATTGTCATCAACATGATCATCGACATGTTACTATGTTTGAGTAAACGACCTTATTGGCCTTATTTATTACATATATTTTATGTGCCACTGTTATCTGAGGCAACGTTGTTGTTGTTGTTATTTGTTGTTGTTTGACGACTCTTGCTGCTGATGTTGCTGCGGCGCTAGTATAAAATGATCTGGGATGGACATCTAGCTTCCTTTTGGAGACTAGAGACGAGAGATAGAATGCATTTACTTGGACTTGGTGAGAGTGTTGGACAACCAGTCGAGACCTTCGTAGAGACCATCACCTGAGGTGGCACAGGTGGACTGAATGTACCAGCTTCTCTGACGGAGTGAGTGGAGGTTGAGCTTGTCGGTGACCTCAGCAACACTCATGGCATTGGGCAGATCCTGCTTGTTGCAGAAGACGAGCAGCACGGCGTCACGGAGCTCATCCTCGTTAAGCATCTTCTGGAGCTCATCACAGGCCTCTTGAATACGCTCTCTGTCGTTGGAGTCGACGACAAAGATCAGACCTTGAGTGTTCTGGAAGTAATGTCTCCACAATGGACGAATCTTGTCCTGTCCACCGACATCCCACACTGTGAAGTTGATGTTCTTGAACTCGACTGTCTCGACGTTGAATCCGATGGTTGGGATTGTGGTGACGATCTCTCCAAGCTTGAGCTTGTAGAGGATGGTGGTCTTACCGGCGGCATCGAGACCGACCATCAGTATTCTCATATCCTTCTTTCCAAAGAATCTAGAGAAAATCTTTCCGAATGTTCCTCCCATTATTGTTTTATGATGTGTATGTGGTAATAGTAAGTAGTAGTTATAAAGGTGAAGTTATTATATATAATAGATATGTATACAAAGATTAAATAATCTATGAATAATATATATGTGTGTGTGTGTAAGCGTGTAGCAGTGAAGAGGTAAAAAAAAAACTAAGTAAGGGTTGCTTGGTGATAGGTAGGTAGAGTTGTTGTTGTTGTTGGAATGTGATGATGTTGAGTGAATGGAGGAGAGGGTGCGTGATTATATGATTGTGAATCAACAATAATTAATTAAAATGAAAATAACAAAAAAAATAAGTTCAAGAGTGGCACATCAAGTGTGGTTGTTGCCACCTGGCAGAGACCACCTGCTGCTCCTGATGTTGACCACAGTCTGTCGACTTTATTGAAAACAAGTTGTTTCATCAAAATTTACATACACACACACTTTCACTCAAACACACATACACACACATCGCACAATACACACTGACTGCGGCACATCCATGTTGGCAGGCAAACGTTGGTGCAGCTGACAGACAGTTCTGAAACCTGTTGACCACTGACGTTGACTGATTTATTCAGCAGCTGCTGTGTTCAGTTCAGTAGTAGTAATAGTTGTAAATGTTTGTATGTATTTGTTTGAAGTTTGGTCAATGCAAACAGATATTGCAATAATTACAACACTACCTCCTATGATGAGGAGAAGTCAAAGGAGGGCAAATTGGATTTCCCTTGTGTTGTTTGTTTATTGATGAACTCAACCAAGACGGGTTATTGATCAACATTATTGAGAGTTATGTCATCACAAGTCATAAAACTTGGATAAAATGCTGGGCCAAAGTCCATAAAAGAGAATGTTAGTTCATAGAATTGAAAGTTTTGCTGTATCTGGAATTGGGGCGCGACTTTCAGCTGAAAGTTTATTGTTTTCCACAAAGATAGGTTGTATCATTATTAGTGAGGGGGTGTTATTCGTCCATGTCATCATCACCCATCAAATTAAGTGGGTTGGTGACAGACAGTTTTTAGTGTTGTGTTTGGACATCGCTAGTCGACCAGTGTCAAACATCAACGGATAGTTGCAATGGAACTGGAACTGATGCTAAGTGTCACCATCAACTTGATTAGTTTACAATCAACCAACCCTATTATTACATTTATTTATTTATAACATAGATATATTTTTTATTACAATGAAATATAATTCAATTATAATATGCCTCGTTGTAATTGCAACATCTTTCTCCTTGATGGCATTGGGAGAGAAGAATGACTATACATCAGTAGAATATGCTATGCCAATGCTTGAGCAGCATGGCGCTGCTCTGACCGAGTTACTCCAGGGTGCTCCACTACCCCACGTCCCCTTACCAAAGACTCCATCCTGTGGCTACGAGAAGCTCAGATCAAGAAATCCACATGCCAGAAGATCAGTACCAGTGAACAGCATCAAGACCCTTGACACCCTCGCAGCTGCTGCTCCTGCCATGGACACTCACCCATTCAGGATTGTGTTCAACAACACCTTTTTATCGACATCCAACAGCCAGACATGCTCAAGTATTGGCCAGACCGTCCAATTAAGTAATGACCAAGGAAACCTCCAGAACTACGTTTGCACTGCCGCCGATATATTGACACCAGGCTTAATCAACTTGATTAAGAACGTATTGTTGCCACACGTGACCGATACCTACGGTGACGTACTGGAGGTCAATGGCCCCAACAGCCACCAGGGAAGCCAGCCATACCCGAACTGTGCCGGCGAGGACTACACCATTGACATTAGCAAGGGTTTCGTCGGAGACTTTATGTACTATGTAACAGCTCATCCCACTCTGGACGCTGGTGTCATTGCCTACGCCACCTCTTGCCTGATGAGATCAGACACTGGTGCACCAGTTGTTGGACTAATCAACTTTGCGCCAATGTACTTTGCCAATTTTGCCAACACCTCTTATGCCAAGACTAACCAGGCCGAGTGGCAAACATTCTTTGCGTAAGTACAAGATGCATGATGGAATAATAGTTTGTTAATATATATATATGTATTAATTCCAACTACCCTCCAACTATACACAGAGTATCACTACATGAGGCCACCCATGCTCTTGGATTTGCTTCGGACATGTATGACAAGTTTATCACGGCCACTACTGCAAACCCACCTACCACCACCGTAGTGTCAAAGGAGGTCAGCCCATCTGGAGAGCAGTACAGCGTCACAAAGACATTCCTTCAGACCCCAGCCGTCAAGTCATTCATTCAGAATCACTATGGATGTGACTCAATGCCGGGAGCTGAGCTAGAGGACAATGGAGGTTCTGGAACAGCTGGAAGTCATTGGAGTGCCCTCCGCATCGGAGAGGAGCTAATGTTGGGCTATGCCCAGGCATCTGCACCACTTACAGGATTGACCCTGTCACTTCTCAAGGACTCTGGCTGGTACATCACTCATCAGACACAGGATGTGAAGCCGTTGGTCTGGGGTCTAAAGAAGGGTTGTGACTTTGCCCTTAAGCCTTGCTCAGCGTCAACATGGAACTTTGACGGCTACTGGAACTCCAACGTTACTCTTAACAAGCCTTTGGTGTCCTGCACTGCAACTAGAGCTGGTGTAGGTTATACTGCCATCATTTCCAATAAGGAAGTGACGGCCAACCCACAATTCCAGCACTTTGCTGCTGACAATTCATGGGGTGGTGCCAGCGGAGGACTCTTCTCCTTCTGTCTGTTCAACTCTGCCGAGACCTTCCAACAGGCCTACTACTGTTTCGATACCAACCAGACGCCAAACGCCCTCGGAGAGGTATTTGGTGATAGCTCTGCATGCTTCCTTTCGCCATCAAACAACAAGCTCGTGCCAACATGTCGTCCACAGAGATGCCAGGACAAGCAGCTCCAGTTCCAGGTCGATGGCAAGTGGTTCACTTGTCAACAGCCAGGAATGATTGTCGATGTCAGCTCAACTGTCTCTGTTCGCTGCCCTCAGGAGAGCAACGCCCTCTGCCAGAACCAACAGAACTCATCCACCTTTGTCCAAGTGAATGGAATGCTCATCGTCTTGTTTGGTCTTCTCGTTGCAATGCTCCTGCTTTAAGTTAATATATTATAATAACACCGACTTATTATTTAGCCATCATTACTTGTATCTTCTTTTGTATTGACTTGATGTTGATTGGTTCAGGCTATAAGTTTAGCTTAGAACCTGGGAGGTCTCTTTTCTTTAATGGCAGTGACACCCTCGACAATGTCGGTGGATGCATAGCACATTGCCTGGGCTCCTGCCTCTCTCGTCAAAGATTGGTCCAAACACTCATTCTGTTGATTACGAAGTGTCTTTAGACAGCTCTGTACTGCGATACTGTTGTTTGTAGTAGGTGTTGTTAGGATAAGTACTCTCTTGGATGGACTTTAAAAACAACGACAACAACAACTTAACTTACCTCGACTTCTTGGCGATGCGCAGTGCAAGATCCAGTGAAGCTGGAATCAAGTTGTCGGGCTCGACTACATCCAACACAACACCCAATCTCTTGGCTTCCTCACCCTGGATGACATCACCAGTTAGCATCAAACGGGAAGCTACTTGGTGTCCCAACAATCTTGGCATGAAGTGAGTAGCGGCCATTCCTAGGAAATAAGAGAGGGAACCGTGAAAAGAGAGATGATCAGTCAGTGCTACCTTGTTTCAGGAAGAACAGAAAAGAGAGTGTCCCTACTACTACTACTACTTACCTGGATGGATACCAAGGTCAACAAAGGTAACACCCATACGAGCCTTACTACTGATAAGTCTCAAATCAGTGGCCATAGCGAGACACATTCCAGCACCAATGGCAGGACCATTGATGGCAGAGATGATTGGTACCTCAATCTTGCGGATGTAGAGGAAGGTGCGATAGAATCTCTCCATGATCTCTGCGTTGTTCTGAGGTGTGTCTTTGGATCGCTCCATGAGGAAGGACAGATCACCACCGGCAGAGAATGCATTGCCCTGTCCAGTGAGGATGACACACTTGAGTTGCTTGTCGGCAGATAGCTCATCAACGACATTCTTAAAGTCGGCACCCATCTCAAAGGAGAGTGCATTGAACTGCGCTGGTTTGTTGAGTTTGATAAAGGCAACACCAGAGTAGGTGCCATTGACCATATGACGTTCCAACAAGACCAGCTTTTCGCTCAATTGTGTTGTTGTTGAGTATGTGCGAGTGAATGAGGTGGTCATTTGACCAACCACTCTTCTGAATGCAATTGTTGTTGTTGTTGTGAACATTGTTGTTGTTATGTCTACTATTGGTAGGGTTGTCTGATGGTGTTAAGAGTGGGGGTTGATGTGTGAAACTAGTGATGATCAAGCAGTAGTTGTTTTTAGATATATCACTTATAAAACTCGTCTAAAGATATATATAAATAATTAATAATGTCAACAAATAGAAGAACCAATAGATTGGATCCCTTTGGCTATCACTTTAACCAAGCGGGTCAGCTGCGGTCAACACCTAATCCTGAGGAAAAGTTCAAGTTTGTTACCCAGGACCACTATGAACGACTGGGCGACACTGTCGCTCTGACCATACAGGACATGATGAAGGAGGCACCCTACAACCTACAAGAGATCCTCATACCTGTGGCACCACAGCCACAAGAGGAAATACTGCCACCTCTACCTCAAACCAACAACGACGATGATGACAAGAAGGCAAGATCAAACATCTTCATAAGCAATGACTTTTATACAAACACCGATCGACTGATGGTCATCATCTGTGGCAGTGGCCAAGTGCGTGCTGGACAATGGGCCAGAAGTCTATGCATCAACGACTCACTCAAGACCGGCAGCATTCTTCCCTACTTGGAGCGTGCCGAACTCAATGGATTCGCTACAATTGTGCTCAATCCTAATTTGAACTTTGTTGGCAACTCACCAGTAGAGGGCAGTGAGAGTCCAATCAACCACGCATTGTACTGCTATGACAACTTTGTTGCCAAGTCACCAGCACAACAGGTGGTGATCGTGGCACACTCATTTGGAGGCGTCGTCACAATGAACCTATTATCCAAGAGGAAGCCACTTCTAGAACGTCTCAAGGCTGTTGCATTGACCGACAGTGTACACTCGCCACATCAGGTTCGTGGTGACACCGAGCAGTTACTCAAGTTCCTTCAGGATCGTTGTCGCAATTGGATCGCATCCAACGAACCACTTGACACAGACTTTGGATCTAATCCATCATGCTCAATTGTATCATCAGGCTCAAATATCCACGAATATACGAGCTCTTCATGTATGGAGTCACTCTTCAAATACATCAAAGGTCTGACACTTTGATAACAAAGAATAAAAAAAAAGAGATAATTATGTTGTGTGTGTTCAACACAAAACATACCTCGTGTTTCAATTATCACTGTTCATACAAATACGTACATATATATTTATAATAATTATATTAGAGAAAGATAGTGATTGATCATGGGTCACCATCATCATCACCATCATCATCATCATAAGAGTCATGGCTTGTCAAACTGTTGTATCGCACTGAATGGTATATGCTTTCTGATTACTATGATTGCTGGTTCAGTCATCGTCGGAGCACTGCTCAGACCATCGATGCAGTATATCGACAACTGGCGTCTCCTCAACTGTACACTTGATACACAGAACATCACTCGCTACTGTCAAATAGATGACAAGTGTCAAGAGTCAACCAATCAGATTCAGTTCCCCTCATACTTCTACGACAATGGACGACGATTCCCCTACGAGTACGATGCGAACGAGACACCTTTAGACGACTCATCTGCAGAGGCACCTGTACCAAACAACACGTGCTCTGCACCAACGCCCAACCAATGCTTCCAGGGCAGCATCATCTTTCACTATCAACCAAACAACGCCACTGACGACATTCAGTCACAATCACTCTACGTCAATGGCACCTATTACAACGCCTATGACTTTGTCTACCATTTCAACGGCAGCTTCCACTGCTGGGTGGATACACACAACAGTAGTCGTATCTCGGTGTTGCCCATACCAAAGTACTCGCCTGGTGGTGCCATTGCAACAGGCATATTATTCTCATTCTCATTGATATGTCTAATCATCCTGTTCATTCTGATATCGATAAGGTGCTTCTGCAAGAATCATCACGACTACCAGCCAATCTATAGAATACAAGCAGACGACGACTAGACTAGACTACATTACAATACAATACAATCAAGCCTCCTCCTCTTCCTCCTTCCCCCCACCTTCTCCTCCGTCTACTGATCGGAACATGTATTATTCTTACAACAACAGCAGCTTGCCAATAAATGATTGATTGTCAACAACAACAACAAGAATGAGTTGCCACTTAATTTATATACATAGTGTTTGCTCTATTCCCAATCAAATACCTCGTCATCACCATCCTCAAGAGATGTTGACTTTGTTACAGACCTTGCTGCTGGTTTCTCCTCCTTTTCCTGGATAGGTATGCTATTGATTAGTCATTGATGATAGTGTGACCATGATGCAGTCATTACTTACTTGTTTGATTTTGCGACGTTCCTCCTCTTCCTCCTGATACCTTTGCTCTAGCTCTCTGGTCAACTCTTCATCGCTATCGAAATCATCCTCCTCTTTAACAACGGTAGTTGGTTGTTCCATTGAACCAATCGGTAAGTTATCAGTATTGACTGGTAATTCAGCCAACGTCTCTGTTTCCTCTGTTGTTGTCGTTGTCGTTGCCATTGTCATTGACACTGGAGATACAATATCATCATTGTTCGAGTCATTGATTTCTATTTCCTCGTCATCCCAACCTACATCCTCTTCGTTAGTTGCAACCTCTGTAATGATTATGGTAGGAAGGAAGGTTAGTCTAGCTAACACCTATAATCAATAGTAATATTAACATACTCTGTAACAATAGTTGTCTTCTTTCTTCCTCCTTCTGTGACTTGTATTGCTTGTAGAAGTATTTCAGCCAGAACTGTTGGTGAGGTATCTCATTTGGTACTGGAGAGTATATCAAAGTTAGTTGATTGCTTTTACTCCATCATGATATAGTAAGTAAGAGACACGTACCATATTTTGTGTACAGTGACTTGATAGTGTCATCTCCAGAGAGTATTGTGTTGATCTGAACGTTGTGTGCCTCCAACGGTCCGAATGTTTGGCACCATTGCTCATAGTCCTCAATGTTTGATGGATCGGATGAGAAGAATGATAAACTCTTCAACAGTTTGTTGGTGGAGGCCTTGATAGAGTTTGATGTGCCTGTATTCGATGTACTGCCACTGCTACTACTAGTAGTAGTGAACATTGATGATGATGATGATGGTCCGCTATTGCCACTGTTGCCACCACTGCTGCTTTGTTGTCCTGCTGTTGGGAGAAGACCAGTTGTCGCAAGGTTTGTCTTGACGGTCTCGATTTGCTCCTGGAGCACAACAGTAGTGTCTTGGTAGAGTGACTTTGAGAACTCTTGAAGATCCTCTTTGTAGATGTTGACCATTTGATCCGACGTCTTCTTGATTGTCTCGACAATGTTCATCTGTTGGACAGACTCAACGAGTTGATTGCCAAGTGTTGTGATATCGACGCTGCCCAAACTGCTGATGGTGTTTGATATACCTCCCCACCATCCCCTATCGTATACATTAGTTATCAGTACAACAATAGTCATTAAAGTGACTGTCTGTGAGTGATTGGTAGAGGAGAACTTACCATCCTGTAGAAGGTGGTGCTTCGCTGACAACAGGCTTTGTTGTTGTTGTTGTTGTTGATGTAGTATTGTTAGGATGTCCAATACTACCAGTTGTAGAGGTATCATTGTTTTGATCCTCCATGTTATAACTATAAATATTTGTTTGAGAAAGTGACTCAATGTGAATGGTGGTCTTCCACAGGTGGTACTCAAGTTTTGATCAAACAGGAGCTCACCAATATATAAATAGGTAACTTTATTTAGTTCTTTCTATTATACTTGCACCTGCCATTAGTAGGATCAGTGCATTGGTTTTGAAGCATTATTCCTATCTGAATAATCTTTTGGTACTCGTTAAAGGTAACGTTGAACTTTCCAAGTGGACGGCCATCATCCAAAGACTGAACAGCCGAGATTGGATCATGGTCACTCCATCCACATGAATCTGATCCGAAGAGGTCTTGGCAAGTCTGTGGGGAGGCATCAATGATTGGCATACCTGCTTCTTGTTCAACCTCGATGTTGGGTCCTGCATCAATTGTGACAACCTTGACACAAGTTCCATAGAATGCATTTCCGAAATCCTCCTCATTGGCAGTGCCAGAGCTTGATCCAGAACCTCCTGAGGATGAAGTACCTGAGGAACCTCCTGACGAGCTACCAGATGAACCACCTGAGGACGAACCACCAGATGAGGAGCCAGAGGAGGAAGTTCCACTTGATCCACTGGTACCGGATGAAGAGGATGAGGAGCCTGATGTTCCACCACCTCCTGTGGCACAGATTGTCAGGTAGACTCCACAACCAAAACGTTGAGAATCAGCAGAGAAGTAAGTGGTCGAAGAACAACCCGGTCCACATGCAGTGGACTCATCACAGAATGATGTTAAATAGTATTGGTTGTTGGATGGAATTGAACAACACATCTAGAAAATTTTTTATTATTGATTAGTTTGTTGGATAATATTAAGTTTAAGGTACGAGCCAGTAACATACGTTTCCATAACAAGGGTCAGCACAATCATATGATAATGCAACGCTGACAAACAGGGCCAACATCAAAAGTAAATGTGATCTCATCATTGTCAACAATTTTATATTATCTGTTGTTATATCTATAGATAGATGGATTTAAGAGGTGTGATTTGAAAGAATGATGGACCTCTAGTCTGAGATATTTGGTGTGCCACCACAAACCAACCAAAGATATTTTATAAGATTGGATTTGACTGATTATTTTGGTCACTCATTTCTGAACTTCAGACTGATAGAGTTGACACAATGTCTCTCGTCGTCTGGAGTATGCTTGTAACCTTCGCCCTTAAAGACATGACCAAGATGACCTCCACAATTTTTACAACAGATCTCAACACGTGTCATACCATGTGAGTTATCCTCATGTCTGGTTAATGCGCCTGGTATCGCGTCAAAGAACGCAGGCCAGCCACAACCTGACTTGAATTTCTGCTGAGAAGTGTATAAAGGAGCATCGCAACCTGCACAGGTGTAAACACCAGAATCAAAGTGCTTGTCGTACTCGCCAGTGAATGCGCGTTCCGTACCCTTCTCTCGCAATACCTTAAATTGAAGTGGAGATAGCTTGACCCTCCATTCGTCTAGTAGTGATATTGTGTGCGCGATGTATGAATGTATGTGGTTAGACAGCTTTACTCCTTCGTCTAGTAGTGGTGCATGATTTATGTAAGACCTCCGATAGATTATGTCATACCTTCCGATGTGTTGTTCATGTTGTTGTTGTTATTGTTATTGTTGTTGATGTTGATGTTGATGTTTTTGGTTGACGATGATGAATAGATTCTAGAATTGAATAGTTGAGATTTAAAGAGTAATTTATTATTATTTCTAATGAACTTTAGCATATATAAATTTATATATTAATTAAAACCTTTAGATTAGTTCAATTGTTTGAGGGTAGAGGTTCAAAGTTATTGTGTTTCCGAAAGAGGTAACAGATATTCTTTCAAATCTTTGATTTTATTTTGTTTTTTGCTGGGTACTTGTTCGATGTTGAATAACTTCCATCCACTTATTAGCACTACAACATAACACACAAATACACAAATATTTGTTAACAATAAAATAGCAGTACTTAATGTCAACATCTCCACCGACAATCAATCAAGTAAGTGATTTACAATGCTATCAGCTGATTTCTATGGACTGATCGCCAAATGGTGACCAACTAACATTATATGGTTTTCAGGGAAGCCCTGCCTCTCCTCCGATGGGCTATGACATTGGCAGCCCAGGCTCCAGGTCACCTGGTGACACAGCAGGTCGAAGAACTCTCAAGAGCAATGTAGTAAAGAGTTTGCTCAACAGATCAAACTCAGGATCGACCCTTATCAATCAACACAGACGTCAATTCCCAACAAACAATACGTCAGACGATGGTGGTTCCATCGACCCAAGTGTTGACTCACCCAAATCGTCAAGACGTGCTGCCACTGCAACAGCGGGCACTGGAAACTCGGCTGCAGACAATGATGTCGACAAGTCATTGTGGACTGTACGTGCTCTCAAGGAGAACCCAGAGATTGCAGACATCTTTGACAGAATCAAGCCAATCAATCGTTGTATATCGTTGGGTCAGTGCTACGCATACGAAGAGACCCTACTCAAAGATGATCCACTCATTGGAAATGATGTCATGTTGCAGCTCATCCTACAACATCTTCAATATGAAGGTCTCCTTAACTCGAGAAAGTCATTAGAGGGTGAAGCAAATGTCAAATGTAGGTTAGAGTTGAGATACATTCAATAATGAACAGCTAACTAACTAACAACAACATATAGATCCTGATTATGCCTTTAATGATAGTAGACTTGTCACACTGATTCGAACGGCTCTCAAAGACTCTGAGAGGATCTTTAGTTTGACTTTGGACGACCGTCAGAAAGACTCTCAACAGCTGTTGGAGGAACACCTTGCATTGATGGGACTACTCGCTGAAGGTAAGATCACCTGTTGACAATCCAATTGGAATGAGAAGTTAGAGGAAACTGGTTTCTAACATCAACATTTGAAATTCACTCTAGAGCCCGATACATCAGAGGATGTCAATATCTATGATGAAGCTTTGGAATCAAACATTATATACACTGATGAAACACAAGCCAACCCAGCGTCCAGTGGTAGCAACAACAACAACAGTAGTGGTAACTTAGGAACCTCTGGTAATGTTCCAATATCTAGCGTCCAGAGCAACTCTTCATTCACACTGTCTACCTCTGCCAAATTGGAACCGATCAAGGCTATCAAGGCCGCATCGCTCAACAAACTGGTCATCCTTTTGACACCCGAGAAGAACCACGATCTTGAGTATGCCAAGACATTCCTTTTGACCTACCAATCATTTACCACCAACGAGAAGCTATTGCAGAAGCTCATACAGCGCTACCAGGTACCACAGAGGCCAGGCCAATCGGATGACGAGTGGAAGAAGATTGCCATCCCTATTCAGCTACGTGTTGTCAATGTTCTCAAGACGTGGATCAATCAATCATTCTCAGAGTTCAACGACAAGCTCATCCAGAACATCAAATCATTCGTCGAGGTTCTCAAACATGATAACCTTGCACTGGCAAACAGAATCATGCAGACACTAAACAGCAAGGTAACAATTACTCATATTGCTGACTCTCTAGGTAGTATCTAACATCAAATCCCCTCATCAATCATATAGATCAAAGGTATCGGTGGAGAGGACGACGAGGAGGACAAAAAGTCAAAGATAGTGTTCACAATGCCAGCGCCAGAGCCAAAGGTTCCAAAGAACATTTGGTCCACCTCTTTGACGATATTCGATGTGGATGAAGAGGAGGTGGCTAGACAGCTCACACTCATCGACTTTGAGATTTTCTCATCAATCAAGCCTAGCGAGTTGCTCAACCAATCTTGGAATAAGCCCAAGTTACGTCACAGATCGCCCAATGTCATGTTGATCATCAACAGATTCAATGAGATATCACAATGGGTGGCGTCAATCATCCTATCGTTTGATAAGGTCAAGGACAGAGCAAGAGTTATGTCCAAGATTGTAAAGATTGCCGAGGTAACTACATATGATGATGGAAATGGTGGTGATCATGTTCTAACATACATACATACAAATACCATAGTATTTAATGAAACCATTGAATAACTTTAACACATCGATGGCCATCCTCTCTGGACTGAATGCAGCATCGGTCCACAGACTCAAGTTTACCAAGGAAGAGATGCCAAAGCATATACAGGTGACCCTGGCTGACCTACAGGGCCAGCTCAGTAGTGCACAAGCGTATAAGACATACCGTGATATATTGGCCAAATCCAATCCCCCTTGTCTGCCTTACCTTGGTGTTTGTCTGACTGACCTTACCTTTGTAAGTAGTGAATGTGACAAACGAACAAACAATATTATTAACGGTCTGACAACTTACATTTCCATCCACATTCGTGTAGATTGAGGAGGGCAATCCAGACTTGATCAAAGGTTTCATCAACTTTAGCAAGAGAAAGTTGATCTACAATGCCATCTTCACTGTACAAAGCTTCCAGAACACAAGATACAATCTTCATCCTGTGTACCAGATATCCAAGCTGCTCAGAGTCTTGAAGCCTAGGATCGACGAAGAGGATCTATACCGCAGATCTCTCAAGTTTGAACCAAGGAACAAGGAGAGGAACGAAATATTGTAATACATCATTGATTTGATTGTACGTACCTGTATCAACAATACAATAAATAAAAGTGATCACCAGTTGGAGATGGTGTTGTTCATGAGAAAATGGCTATCTCTTTATTGTTGTTGTTGTTGTTGTTGTTGTTGTTGTTGTTGTTGTTGTTGTTGTTGTTGTTGTTATATACATTGGCCCAACAGATATGATCAATACTTCTCTCTCTTTCATTGCTTTATCCCTGATGACAATGCTCTTGAGTGTTGTTGAAGATGTCTTTGTTGCTGATTAATCAATCGCTCATGGGTCGTCCCATGATGCTGCAGATGTTGCTGTTGCTGCTGCCTCTGTTGATACAGCTCTTCGTTTCTCGATTGGTTATCAACTATTCTCTTTAGAGGGTAAAAGATAAGGAAGAAGTAGATCAAGCACTGTCCTCCAATGACACCTGCAAGCATTTTCTGTTGATGTATGTACATGTCTTTGGTTAGATCAAACTGGGACATTAGTAGGACGTTCATCGAAGCCTTACCTTGTGTGTGAGCAGAGGAAGGTCTAACAGTGCAGAGTACAGCATTTGGTGAACATTGTAATAGGACAAATAGAACCCAAATACAATTGATGATATTATAATAACTAATAAGGCAATCATGTTCTATCTTGATCTCACTCCTCTCTCTCTATCTATCTATCTCTCTTTTTTTTCTCTATCTTTCTATGTCTCTCTCCTCTATCTATCTAAAGACCCCTTGCATTGTGTTCCAGCATTTATAACAAAACTATCAATGAATAAAATTGTTGTTCACAGATAAAGACTAATACACCTTGGATAGATATCCTGTCTTTATTAACAATTACCACAAGTTGCCATTCTGTTGACAATACAATACACTTTTGAGTTGTAGTTAGAATCTATTCAGGTTTGTTCGTTGGAAACTGTTTTGGAAATTTCAATCTCTTTCGGCATTTATCGGGTACTGACACAGTGTGATGGTTTTTTTTCAAATTTGTTGTACCAGACCAAGGGCAACTTTGCAACACTCAATCAGCATTGAGATCATTTGATTATTGCACACATACAAACACATACATACATATAAATATATATATAAAGATGAAGTTATCACAAGAGGCCTTGGCCAACTTGTCCAAGCATAAATACTCTGGAATTGATGATTCAATACTTGCAAAATTGATGCTGAGACGTTATTGGGACTTTTGTATTAAGTTGGTTCCCACCTGGATTGCCCCCAATCTTGTAAGTGTCCATCCCACTAGTAGTAGTACTTGGACAGACAAACATCAGCTCACTAACTCTTGAGAGTGTTGTTCCACCAGATCACATTGACAGGAACATTCGTTGTCATCTTTTCCTTCCTACTAGTTGGACACTACTCACCAGAATTCGAAGGTTCAATCCCAACATGGATTTACTACTTTTCCGCTGCTGCCTTGTTCTTTTATCAAACAATGGATAACCTGGATGGTAGACAGGCTCGCCGAACAGGCACCAGCTCACCATTGGGCCAGTTGTTTGATCATGGATGTGATTCCATTGTTTGCACTGTATGTACTTGGCTACGCACTCATATACAGTAAAAACTCCAACTCTCTCTCTAACACATCGATTAGCTTCAATCATTGACAGCAACCAGCATCATTGGTCAGGGCGCAGGATTTCTATCTCTATTTCAACTGTTCTCTACTGCATTGCTTCCATTTTGGATGGCCACCTGGGAGGAGTACCACACTGGCGTCCTGCACCTCGGCCCTATCAACGGTCCAGATGAGGGAATAGTGATCATTTGCTTACTGTTCGTGTTTACAGGCTACTTTGGCTCTTCTTTCTGGGGCACGCCATTGCGCTTCCTCGTAGGTGACTCAATTGGACGCCTACTTCCAACCCAGTTGCTCGACGTCAAGATCAACGTTGTCATGAATCTGTTGATGGCAGTACCAATCACAGTGACCTGTGTTGTAAACATCCGTAATGTTATTCGTCATGTACAGGCCAAGGGCAAGTCTGCCACTCCAGCTCTGATGCACATTCTAGTCTGGGTCATCATGACGGTCTGTGCATTCACTTGGTACTATACCTCCACATCTACCTATCAACAAGATTCAATCTGGATCAAATATCCCAGAACTGTTCAACTATCAATTGGCGTGCTCTTTGGTGAGCTAGTTGTAAGTATACTCCCTCAGCAAGTAACATTTGCATCAAGTAGCAGCATCAGTCAGTCAGTCAGATACTAACAGATATTGTAATCAACACCACGACAGAGTCGCCTCATTCTCTCACATATGTGCCACTTGCCATATAAAGTGCTCCAAGTGTCGTTGTATCCTATTATCATCTCTACACTCCTTTCAGTTGCAAACTATTGCCTCAACAAGTAAGTATTAATAAGGGTGGAGTAGTACACTCCGTTGGATCATTACTGACAGTCTCTTACTCACTCATTCAATTCATTCATTCCATTGCTACAGACCAACATACATTCCACAAGAGGGAGCAATTCTGTTTGTCTTTACAACGATCAGCTTTGGAATCTACTCGATATTCGTCAAGGAGACAATCCAACAGTTGTGTTCCCATTTGAAGATTAAGTGTCTCAGTATCCCCACCACAAACAATAAACAGGCTTAGTTAATTTAGTATGTTGTTCACAGAAAATGATAAGCTTGTTGTTGTATCTCTTCCCGAGGCAACAGGGAGTTGAGTGAAGGAGTTGATAAGGTTGGGAAATGGGAAAATGTTCAATGTCTTGTAATTAAGATTGCGCTGCTGCTCCTGTTGTAGTAATAAGTGTGACTGTCATGTCAGTTAGTATTTATTGATTCCAAAGATTCGCACACGATCCAAAGTGGGCATCTTGGCCAAGACGACCACAAATGAAGCAAGTGCATTGAGATAGAATGGAGCGCCAGAGACTCCATTGGCATTTAGTGTTAACATAAACCTAAACGACGTTGAGATTATCATTGTTGGGTTAGTCTCATTCATTGAACAAACAGCACTGTTGTTGGATACCCACAAACATATAGGGACCATGGTGAAGAACTTCCTTGTTGGTGTGTATTGCTGTCCTTTGTCAATCTGCTCCCAAAGTGTCAATCTAGTGTATTTGCCTTGGTGCGAGGGGAAGAAAAAGGGAAGACCTTTCTGCCAGTGTAGTCCCACGTATGTGATTACTGCATGTATAATTGTGACTGTCAGCCAACCATAGTTGAAGCTCGGTGATATGATCTGAATGAAGAGTTTCAAGAGTAGAACTGCCAGTATATAAACTACCCAGAAGCTATGTGAGTGCATCCATGATTCGTTCCTGTTAATTTGGAATTCATCCATGTTCATCTTGAATGATCTTTCTCGAATGTCCTTTCCTAATGAATAGGTTTGCTATAATGTTTGTTGTTTGTTTGTTTGTTGTTTGTTTGTTGTTTGTTTGTTGTTGTGTTATTAAGTTCTCAGAGCAATTCTGTTATTGTTGTTAATAACCTTTGTAGTTTCTGATGTTGTTGATAGGAATAATTATCTGTAATAAATGTACAAGAAAGATAAACAAACAAAGGAGGCTTGTTGTTCACTTTCGAAACAATAGTGGTAAAAACCCCACAGAGTCAGATTTTATTGTCAATTATTATTATTATTATTATTTATTAATTAATTATGAGATAGTTCTTGATGTTGTTGCTTTCTTCTTCTTCTTCTTTCTCTTTGGTGGATTGTAGGAGGGATTATAAATAAAGAGTATTGACAGAATGGTCACTGATATGATCAAGATCATCTGTTGTGTGGTAATACCTCTTCTTTGAATCTCCTCTTTGATCTTGTCCACCACTGGATTGAATTGCTGCATCAGTTGTTTCCATCGCTGAGACCAGATGTCTTCTTTGTTGCCAGTTGTGGGCACTGATTGGTCCGTTTCCTTGTCGTTGTTGTTTGTTTGGATGGCCTCCTCAGACTTGGATGGTGGTGTACCATGATGGTGGTAGTCAAAGTTGCTGTCACTCGAGAGGATGCCAATGCATTTGACAGAGTTTGAAAGCTGTCGTAATGTATTCACCAGTGCAATGATTTCGTTCCTTTGCAATGAACTTTGGTCTTCATCAAACAGAATCTTCAGAGCTGTACCCAATCCAAGTGTTTGCATCTTGCCATAGAGCTTGCATTTCTCGCAAGTGACGCAGTTCAAAATGGAGCTGATGTTCTGGAAGTGTCCTTTGAATTGAGTGATAAGGTTTTGCTGAGTTTGAAAAGGACTATGTGTCAATGGTTTGAAATGTTGGTTGAATGTTTGATTGTTGTTTCAACTATACCTTATCATATGTGTCTTTGAAAAGGAGTGTTTCGTCGAACGATGGCAAGCACGTGACTTGTTGCTTCAATAGAGTCTGTACAAGTTGGTAGGTTTGTTTGTCCTCCACTTCATTTCCAGTGTTGAACTGATAGTTGGCCAAGAAACCATCGATTTTACTGACAGCCCTGGTGTGTTGAAGGGATGGTGACGTTGAAGTATTGTTTGACTTGAGTGAGTGAGTGGAGCCATCAAGATGTGGATGTATGCAGTCGACTGCATAGCAACTTACCGCATCATAAACAAGAGTGTGAAATAGAGATTGTCAATTCTATCTGGATGATTCTCGAATGAGGATCTGAACCTCTTTGGATTATGTAACCACTCGTTGGTGTTCTTGTCCTTCTGATAGTAATAGGAGAGATGCGTGGTGATGGACGAATGTAGTCCCGATATTAGCTTGTAAAAGACCCTCTCTTCAAAACACATCTGCTCCAAAGGTCCTATATTGATAGGCAATGTATGGTGGTTAATGATCACTGACTGGACAAATCATCTTCATAGACACCAAGTTGATACGTACGGGTGAAGCAGTTTTCGTTGTAGATCGATCCCCACACTGAGCTTCCATCATATCCAGAGTAGGACTCTGGTGTTTCACCAAGATTGACATAGCTTGTGTCAGTGTCGGATCCATATGGGATGACCCACATGTCCTCCTTCTTGTCCTTCCACTTTGTGAAGCCGGGTGGTGGGGGCGATAAGTCCACTCGATCGCTGTCACCATGGTCCTCTATCCTCCAAGGAAGAGGTATCTCGTTGTCATCACACTCACAAACTCCACATCCTTCAAGGCCACATAGTTGGGTGACAACCCAGAATGGACACTCTGCAAACAAGTTCACCCGGAAGTATCTAAAGAAACGTGTTTTCTTTGTTGTTGTTGTTGGAGAAGTTAGTAGTGTATAACAACGACATAGTGTTGTTGATCTGTCTTACTACTATCTCGTTCAGTATAGGATTCAAGTTTTTGTTGGCTTTCTCGATCATTGGAATCTGACAACAACAATCGTCTACCGTGTTGTCATTGTTGTTGCTGCTGCTGCTGCTGCTGTCAAAAGAGGAGATCAGCCCCTACAAAGTAAAGCATTGTATTAGTGCAAGCCATTGTCATTGTGTTGTGTAGCAATATTGTTTGCCTACATTTGATACTGTCGGACTTATGACATCTGAACTTGACACATTAAGTTGTAGTAGTATAAGTAACAGGAAACACACCAATAAAGGTAGTCTCGCCATTGCAAGTAAGTATATGATTATATTCTATCTGTTCTTCTCTTATCAAAGTATCTTTTACAACTATCTCTTTCGAATAGCTGGTCAGCTTGACAAGACATAAATTATTCAATTTATTTGGTGTGTGGTCCACGTTTCACCTTCCATCCAACAGAATGGTCAGATAGAACGTCGACCTGATCGATGACTAGATGAATGGCCTTGTGCATTCTTTGAAGTCTTTAGTCGTAGTCAGTCAACATCTAACGATATTGGTCTAAATCTCGTTCGAGTATTATAATTATTACTACTATTATTACTATTATTACTATTGCTACTGCTACTACTGCTACTACTACTATTACAGAGTCCACTGCCATTTATATTATCGTTGGGTGAGGCCTTTGGAAGGAGCATGATCTTTCGTTTAGAACTACAGTAGTAAATGTTGTAAATACTCAAAGTTTGGTTACATCTCTTTATGTATCTATTATGGGTATTGTCAGTAACTTGTGAACGAACGAACGAACGAACTATCGAATGATTCGATAACATACATGAGAGGATCGTCTAGACCAACATAAATTAGGATGGTCCAAACAAAGAACAACAATGATATCAGTGTTGGTGAATAAATAAGGGCGTAGTACTTGTACGAGTATGACTGTTGGAGTGTTGGACCATTGAGTATTAGCAACATGGATATATATATAAAATACTCAACCTACATAGCTAGTTGCTTTTGATGCAGACCATAGCAAGGTAAAGACCGAGGTAATAAAGAAGATCCAACATAGATTGCGATAACGTCTATTCTTTGCAGTGAGTTGATCGATTGATCTATTCATCGCCCTTTCAAATAGATATATATCTAGTAGATGATGATGGGAGAGTTTGGTCATTAATAAAGAAGTTGCCTTATTCATAAGTGAGATGGATGCATCTACCCTTTAGTTGTGTGGAGATGTCAATCATCTTCTATAAATATACTATAAATATATATATATATCTTTGTACAGAGGGGAACAAGGCTGGATTAGTCTGTTTGTTCATTCTTTCAAAAGAATAACACATATACACACACACACACACACAAACAAGTTCATTCATTCAAGCTAGAGACAACAACAACCTACAGAGTATCACTACTTTGTTTGTCAGTCGCACTACAACAATAACTACTAGTAGTCATTCCAATAATGCCCTTGTTAAATGGCAAAGTGCCACATGAGCTATTAAAGACAAAGCCCAAACCAAACAGAGAGTACTTTGTGATAAGGTTCACAAATGAACACTTTAAGAAGTATAGGTATGTATATATGTGATAATCATTCATGATGGTGATGATTATGTTGTTTGATGTAGTACTCTCTCTAACATAATGCGTGTTGTTATTGCTGTTGTTACCAGTGACTACTTGGATCACATGGACAAGTATCGTTTACGACAATGGACCTGTTCCATCACAAACAAGACAAACCTTACATACGAGGAGGCTTTGATGTCCGAGAAGAAAGCCATCGACAAGGTGTCAAAGTTCTCAGAGGTCCTGCTTCCTCATTGTCTGAGGATGATACAATACAGTGAGTTGATCGTTTTTGTTGTTGAAGAGATGATGATCAACCAATCACTAATATATACATACACTGACATGACAGAGGATTCTAACCTGGATGATCTGCGTGATACAATCTATGACCATTTCAATAGCAACTACTTCCCCCAAGAGATGATCACCTTCAAAGCAGAGGGGACCAAATATACGGGCAGGATATTGTCATTGGTATCAAGCAGCTCATCATCATCGTCGTCTGAACTTGAGAGTAAGAACAACAAGTCAGCAACCTCATCATCATCATCAACGTTATCGACCAAATCCAATGGTGCAACCTCCTCAAAGAGTACAAGGAAATCAAAGCTCAGTGATTCCGACGGCAGTGATACATCTGAATCCGAGGACTCGGATGACGACAGCGATGAGAAGAACAACAAGACCTACTCTGTGCTCGTTGAGGATAGGAATAAGACATTGATAGTCTCTATTAAGGATATCATGTAATTATTATGAATCATTGGTCCTTGGAATCCAATCATAAATACTAACTGTCCCACTACTACAACATGTACACAGAAGGAGGATACCTCCAATATACAAACCAATGATCAAGGATACCATCAGATTGGTTGCCAAAAAGACGAAGCAAGGATATTGGTTGTTGGAGGACTCATTGACTCACAAGTACGCCATTGATGTACCTGTTCCTTCGCATCTCAAGCATGAGATTAATCTCAAACGAAAGTCAGATGACTCTGCTTCTGGTGTCAATGACATTGACAACAGCTCTGATGATGAGTCGAGGAAGAGGAGAAAGCCATTGTACCCCATCGAGGACAACGAGGTTGACAGGACGACCGATGAGGCCGCCTCTTCCTGTCCTATACCTTCATGCAACTTTATCAGTTCCACGGAGATGTATGGTGATCTTTTGATGACTTGGCACTTCCTGAACCAGTTTGAAAAGGTTCTACAGCTCTCCCCCTTCAGCATCGAGGACTTTGAATCGGCTCTTCAACACTCGAGTGAGACAACATTGTTGGTGGAGACACATATACGACTACTCAAGCTGGTGTTTGGTCTGTCCATCTACAGTCATGGTACACCAAAGAAGCACTTTAGCATCAAGATGCTGACCGATCGCAATTGGCTCACTCTGCTCAAGGTGTACTTCTCCTACGAGTCCAGGAGATTGGAGCTAGAGGAGAAAAAGAAGGCAGACAGGAAGAAGCAGTTGGCCGAGCAGAATGACAAGATGATGTGTTTGGCAAGCGACATTCCCAATGATGACGAAGGAGACATTAGCGAGGAGGAGCTGAAAAAGAAGGAGCAGGACTTTGAGGATAGAATGGAAAGGTCAAAGGCAGCGATGGATGGGGAGGAGGAGGAGGATGATGGTGACATTGAAATGGCCGATGATGATGAGGTTGCGCATGATGATGACGGAGAGGCAATCTTGCAAGAGGATGATGAGAGTTCCGAACCCTCCAATATCATCAGCTCCAACGATCCAGACAATATCATCAGAGTTCTGAGGAAAAGGAACTATTTCCGTCTTAGAGTGGATGAGAAGCTGCACATCCTTTCCTACCTGGTCATGCAGGCTATACAGTCCGACAGGATCAGACGACATTTGGACGAGATCACAGAGTTTGCTGGAGAGATCAGACAGGAGAAGAGGGAGTTGGTTCTAGAGGAGAGAAAGATCAAGAAGGAGGAGGACCAGCAAATGCAAGAGAATGCCGCCGCTGTAAAGAAGGGCAAGAAGGGTGTCGAGCTTGGCAAGATTCAAAAGAAAGAGGAGAACTTGGATCAGCAATTGGTCAAGTATTCTTCGAGGCTGGAGCCACTTGGTCAAGATAGGGACCACCACAAGTATTGGTACTGGACACAGCTACCGGGACGAATCTACATCGAGCACACCAAGGGTGACTGGGCCTACTTCACAAGTCGCCAGGAGTTGGATGATTTAGTCCAATACCTTGACAACAGAGGTGTCCGTGAGCGTAAGCTGTTGACCGCGATCAAACTAAAGTATGATGTCATATCAACAGCCATCGAGCAAAAGACGCAACAGATCACCGCACAGCTTGCACTTGAGTCGAAACGGTCGGCCAGGATAAAGGCTATCTATGGAGACAGAACCTATGTTGGTTACACTAACAAATATATATAAAAATATTAATAATAATAATAATAATACAATATTTAATATATTAAATATTTTTTAATATTTTTCAAATTCTTCCCGCTCTTTTTTTTTGGTGCTTGTTCAAAAGTATTGAAGGTAGTTGAACAAACGATACATTCATACACACACAGACATATTTATATATTATAATGGAGAAGAAGTCATTGCCAGAGCTAAAGGAACTTTGTCGTAGTCGTGGCCTCAAAGTAGGAGGCAACAAACCAGACCTCATTGCGCGTCTAAATGAAGCAGAGGCAAACGTTGCACCAGCAACATCAACTTCCACTACAACAACAACAACAGCAGCAGCAGTATCACCAGCAACACCTGCAGCTAAAGTTTCAAAGAAGAAGAAGAAGAGATCAGACTCTGATTCGTCCGATTCAGAGGAAGAGAAAAAGCCTGCAAAGAAGGCTAGAACTCCCAAGAAGGGTGTTAAACCCAACTCTCGCAATATCGTCACCTTGCTAAAGGGTGTTGGCTGTAAATTCAACATGTGTGGCGCATCTGCCGTGGCCAGGGGTCACTTGCAATGGGACGGTACTGACGAGGGTCTGGACAAGGATGCCACCAAAGGTGACGGCACTCTGCTCAAGGTCAAGGGTCTCGACTGTGGTCATACATGGACCCCTACTTTGCGTGACATTCTCGAGCAGACAGACTACCCAGGCACAGACTATGAAGATGGAATGGAGAGCGCTACGATTACCTGCCCAGAGTGTGAGTCGCCTGTCTACCTGACAAATATGTGCACTGGAAAGTTCCAGGAGGACAGCGGCAAGTTCCACAACCATTGCACCCAGTGTAAAGGTCTGGGCAAGTGTATTGGCGACTATAGGAACAGCCATTGTCCGAATTGCAACAAGCACTACTTTGCAGGACTCTCGGGATTCGATTGCAGCTGTCGAAGCAAGGGACGTGGCCGAGGAGGAGGTTTCTTTGGCTTTGGTTCAGACTCTGGCTCGGATGACGATAGCTATTAGAACAATAAATAAAACACAAGAAGTTGTTTATTACAAACTACTACTTGGCAAGGTCGACTGATTTTAAAGCGTTCATCTGTATCTTTACTGGACACGAACGTATATTTAGCAGCTGGCAGCTAGCTTGGCTGGCTCTGGCAGTGAAGGCTGACTGACACCTCTATCAATGGTGATTATTGAACCATTGTTACTGGTGCAACAGAGGCTCGCGATCCTAAAGGTCAAATAATGACCAATCTTTGTGCTTCCTTTGATTTTTGAAGTTCCTTTCATCTAGATCATCAATCTGGGCATCTAGATCGATTGCTGAAGCCATTGTATACTCCAACCTTGGTTTACATGTATTGTTATTGTATGGTTCATTTGAATGATACAAATGATTGTACTTTCGCCTTCAAGTCATCACAAGCGAATTCCTCGCTGAACTTCCAATGTAAGACAAAGTGTAAAACTCGCGATATTCCATTGGGCAGGGTCCAAATGTGTTGCCAAGAAAAAATAATAATGAAATTAAAATGATAGTTTTAAATGAGATAGTTGACATAAATGAAAGTGTCATTAGTTTCTTAACTAACATATACAAATTTAATGACAAATTTATAATGTCAACCAAAGACCACATCGAAAGTGATAGTAATGAGGAGATATGCGAAATACACAGACCACCACCTTACGAAGTCAATGAAGATGATGTAGTATCGACCTTTATGGCTTTTGAACCAACCGTAGATTCGGTACAAGCAGAGTTTCTACAACGAGGATGCACCGAGACTTGTAGAAAGGTAGCCATTTTTAGGTTCGAGAGCATTATTCAATTCTCCAACAACATGATACAGATACTAGAGAATATCAAGCTCGGCCGTCATCACCGCTACCCCCATTGGGATGAATATGTCCAGTGCATCACCGATACATGTGAAACACCAGAGGATCGTGTCAGAATACAAAAATTCCTCATGCGACCAATGACTAAAGAGGAGTTTGAGAAGAACCGGTGTAAGTGGTCAATGTAATAATCATTGTCTGGATTACATTGACCAGTAATAATCAGACAATACAACTTGAATGTAGACTTACTCTACTGGAACCCTGCCCCACAGTACTCCGACACACAGTCTCGTGTGTATGAGAGCTCGGAACATGCCAATCAATTTCAAATTGTAAAAATAGATTTGTTTTAATTAAAGTTGTTGGTCTCTCGGTAACACTGAATCTGGTTGCTTCTCCGCCAACAACATATGATATTATTTGATTGATTGATTTGTTTAACAAATAAATAAGTATTGATCATATATTTAGATATTTTAATATTTACATATTTACACATATTCAGTTTTATCTTGGATCGCTTTCAGCCACTTCTTGTCACATTGAGAAATCGCTCGCATGAAATGGTCATCTACCTCTTGGTCTGTTGTCGAATGGATGTCTTCCATAAATTCATCTATCACTTTTGGATTGACAYCATGCTTTGAACACTCGATGAACTTTTGAATACACAAGACAACCCAGAGACCGCATCGCCATCCATCATCCTGTACCAGGCATTTGTTTGTGTCTGTGATCATCTTACAAGTTGGTGGCAGTTCTTTCTGTATCGCAGTTTGCATCTCTTTGACATAGGTCCTGTGTATGAACACCAGTGAATCAACGTGCAGGAAATATATCAGGTCAGGGCCATCGATGTAAGTAAACACAACAGAAAAGTGGTTCGACTGATTGATGATAGTAATGCCTAACTTGGCCTTCAACAGAGCCTTTGTAAACGATAAAGTCCTCGCTTCAAAGATCGTCTCAGGGCAAGCATYGACAATATAGACAGAGGTTGGAATGCTTGGCTYCTGTTGAACAGCAGCAGCTTGTGGAGTGTGAGAATAAGGTACTCCATGCGGAACAAGGCCAGCAACCACAACCAATGTTTGAGCCAAGAAGGTTAGCATCCCARTATATATACCTCCATCATTCTCAATAGAACAGAGGATATTACGGTCCTCTTTGTTTGGTGTGTACTCTACAATGAGTGTATGTATATGTGTTATCAACTTGATCACCAACCGAACAATTGTAGTACTTACTGTTGACTGCCTGCACAGGTTTGTTATTKGTTGAATCATCTCCCTCAAGAGCATCCAGGTCAGACATGGCTTTAGTGAACAGATTAACTATCTGATTGGCATCGTTGTTGTCATCATCATCATCAAATATATCATAGAGTTGGTCATCGTTGCTGTCATCATCATCTTGGTCGTGGTCACTGTTATCCAGGTCACTGTCGGCAACATCGTTGTTTTTGTCATCTTCATCTGCAACATCAAGTTGGTCATCATTGATATCATCAATGACATCATCTTCGTTGATGTCATCATCTGCCGACTCGTCATCATCGCCACTGTCCACCTCATCAACCTGCTTCTGACCTTGGAGTCGATCAATGATGTCCTTAAACATCTCGTCGATTGATGGACACACTTGGTCAGAGAGTACTATCATCTGCTTTGATCCAACACGATAGGTCGACATCTGATTGGTCTTTGAATGGGCGGCCTTCTCCAACAGTGCTTCGATCTTGTTGTCGATGGCCTTGGACCGTCTTTCACTGGACGTCGATTGAGTCTGTCTTAGACCATTGATCTCTCTCCACACTTGGCATCGCGCAGCTAATCCTGCCTCATGGTCCAATTGCACACTGGCAGATGTTGCCTTGCCTCTCCTCAAATGGACCTGTGTCACCGTTGCCCTATACCAATAGCCATTGACATCTGATCCAGTCTCGGTATTGACTTTGACCAAGACCTTCTTACCAACGAGATCATTGGTCAGGTTGGTCAAGGTCATTCTCGCTATTGGCAATATTCTACAATCTGGTACATTCTGCTCAATGCCAATTCCATTGGGATCACTGATGACACATAATGTTGTAACGTGTAAGTGTTGCTGTTGTCGAGACCACATATTACATTGTACTTACTTGTACTTTACCTCATAGAGGTCAGTAGCGGTACTGTATGATTGTATCGTTGCTGGAAACCAACCAAATGACAAATGGCCGTACTTCAGAGGTTATCAGTCGCAGTCAATCCTGATGCAGTGCACACATCCACATCTTGACCAACACTATACTTGCTGTCCCATCTGCGCATCTGTTCCATGAGATCGGGCAAGTCAAACCTTATGTTGAATGATCTGTTATAGAGATGCCATATCCTCTCGCTTGAAAGTATCTGTTTTGACGCCAGGTGACCTTTGCTATGGCTGAATGAAGTACAAAGAGTTAACATCGTCATCCAACCAATCAATCAATCATCCACAACAACACCAACATCATTCAATCAATCATTCGATTGATCATTCAATCATCAACTACCCTTCCATTCAAATGTATATGCTTACTTCAAGTACCKATTGATTTCGTTCTTCAAATCCTCATTGTACATAAGCCTCTTCTCCACAAGTGAATCATTGATCACTGTCTTTGATAGAGCGATATTGCCATGCCTGGTTTTGTTGGTGCACCTATCAACAAAGCACTTGGTCACAAGGTGCAACGCTATCAGTTTGATATTGATTAAGTGTAAGTATGTAATAACCGCGGTCGACAGTTTGATAGTTAAATAGACACTTACACTCAAGTGATAGCATACAGAAGATAGCAATGCTTCCGTACTCATCAACTACCTCCCCAACATGGTGATGTAATATATGGGAGTAGGTTTGAATGGCCTCAGCTCCATACACATTGGTGACAGCGGACAAGTACATTCCAGTCATGAACCTAAACTGATCACCGTTCCAATCTGGCTTTTCCTTGACGAGCTGCACCATGATGATATGAAGGATAAAGTAGATTCCTCTCGTTGCAATCAATCGATTGTATCTCTCAGTCAACTTGCTGCTTCCTACTGTGTCGACTTGTAAGTATGTGCAACTTCAATTGATTGGTATCATCTATCCACCAGCATCAATCATCCACACATGGCCGACCAATAACTTACTCTGATTCATCCACTTTGGATGCTCGACTCCACTCTGGATAGAACGTCTCCATAATGCATCATCATTGTTCAGGTGCTCCGTGGCTGTGGACCTTGATTTGAACAAGGAATAGTAGAGATTCCTTCGATGAGTGTCAATGATTGATGGCATCATGTCCAGCATCTTGATTACCTCTTCATAGGAGTAGGTCGTCTTCATGAATGCCTCTCGAACCTCTACGGCATTCATTTTGTCAGCAGTGCTATCACTCAAGAAAATCGCCAAGTCATTGTTCTTAAGTTGGTCCACTAGCTCCTCCTTGCCTCCACCATAGAGGACAGCATCCTCAAACATGAACTTGCTACAATCAATAACCTGTATGCCATTCATTACAGTTGCAATCAATCGATCACACTTACATTCCATGGGTATGCTCCTCGCACGACTGCTCATATCCAATCTCTTCTTTGCTTGGTCCATCAACTGTTGCACTCGCTCACAGCCATCACAATCATTCATCCATGCTCCATCATGGTGCAAATGGATTAGACGAATGTGCTTTGCAAGGTTGCGAGACGCAATGAAACTTTGGCAACCTTCATGAGGACATCTTTTCTTCATCCTCCTGCTATCTGTACATTGGTCATCATCGTCCGGTTGTCCTGGATCATCCTCATCTGCTTCTGCTTGTTCCGGTTCACTTTCATCATTTGTTGGTCCTGGATCCCATTCATCTGTCATA